GATATTTTTGCACAGAATAAAATAAGAATTTTTTTTTTTTTTTACTAGTTTCAGTGTTACACCTTGTAGTTTTGACATGATCATTACTTGATGTGATTCCTGGTACTAATTTTGTCAACCACTGAAGGATGAAAGGTTGAGGTGACCTCGCCAGGAAGCAGATCAGAGCTCGAGTAAACCCTGAATGAATGACTCTATCCAGGTTAGAACACTGAAATTAGCTAAGACTACCTTGTATCACTACAGCTGTTCAATACAGCAATCACATGCGACGTGGGCATTATACTGCACAGAATCTGCAGCAATAAAGGTTACCCAGATTAGAACCTTCAGAAAGGAACTTGAATTCATTATTCCGTATTACTTGTCTTATATGGAGATACCTGAGGGGGAGGGAACAGTAAATAAGATGTGATAGATCTGCACACACAAAAAAAATAATATATATATATATATATATATATCATACATACTGTGCAAACAGCTGTGTTTTTATTTAACCATGTTGGTGGGTGGTGCAGTTATGAACAATGTACAGTGATTTTTGAACTTCGATGGAATGAGGCTTGGTGGCTTTCTAATGTCACACGCACAATGTGACTTCTTTCGGCAGAATATGATATATGATGACTGTTCTAGGCATACATAGAAGTACTGTGTGGGTGTTCTTTATGGTGGACCACACACAATCACTATATACTATATGGACAATTGTATTTGGACACCTGACCATTACACAACCATGGACTTTTATGACATTGCATACTTAATACATAGACATTAATATGTAATTGGTCCCTCCCTTACAGTTCTAATAGCTTCCCCTCTTCTGGGAATGCTTTTTAGAATATTTTGTTTCTGTGGGAATCTTTGCCCATTAATCCAGTATAGCATTTGTGAGGTTGAGCACAGATATTGGACAAGAAGGCCTGGCTCGCAATCTCCATTCCAGTTCAGCCGAAAGGTGTTTGGTGGGGTTAAGATCAGGATTACGTGCGACTCCATCAAGTTCTTCCAAACCAAACTCATCCAACCATGTCTTTATGGACCTTGCTTTATGCACTGGGGTACAGTCATGCTGGAATACAAAATGGTCTTCCCCAGAGTTGGAAGCATAGCATTGTGCAAAACGTCTTGATATGATGAAACATCAAGATTTCCCTTCACTGGAAGTCGTGGGCCTAGCTCAACCCTGAAAAACAGCCCCGTACCATTATCCCTCCTCCACCAAACTTTACAGTTGGCACAACGCAGTCAGGCAGGGAAAGTTCTCCTGGCATCTGCCAAACCTAGTCTCACCCATCAGACTGCCAAATAGAGATTCGTGAATCATCCCTCTACAGAACGTTTCCATTGATCCAGATCCAGTGGTACCATGCTTTACACCACTCAGTCCGACGCTTGTCATTGTACTTGGTGATGTAAGGCTTTCATGCAGTTGCTCGGCCATTGAAACCCACTCAATGAAGCTCCCGCAGCACAGTTTTTGTGCTGATATTAATGCCGGTGGAAGTTTGGAACTCTTCAGCTATGGATTCAGCAGAGCTTTGGTGACTTTTACGCACCAGGTGCTTCAGCACTCGATGACCCCAGTCTGTGACTTAATGTGGTTTTCCGCTTCGTGGCTGCTGTTCCTAAATCTTTCACTTTCCAATATTACCACTTACAGTTGCATATCTAGCAGGGATGTAATTTCACAAACTGACTTATTGCAAAGGTGGCGTCCTATCACAGTACCACACTTGAATTCACCGAACGACACATTTATTTCACAAATGTTTGTAAATGCCGACTTCATGGCTAGGTGCTTGATTTTATACGCCTGTGGCAATGGGTCTGAATGAAACACCTGAATTCAATCGTTAAGAAGTGTCTATTTAATGTACACACATATATATATATATATATAAATGTTGTGTTATTTAAATTGGCAGTATATCATGACAGCCATTGTAGATACACATTAAAAGAACCCTCAAAGTACCTTAAGCACTTCAGCTGCTTATCCCTGCAGACTTATTTTATAATAGTCACGATTTATAGAGAAATCGGAACTTCTACTAATCTCCTACGTAACACCTCTTTAACCCCTTAAGGACCAAACTTCTGGCATAAAAGGGAATCATGACATGTCACACATGTCATGTGTCCTTAAGGGGTAAACGTGATGCAGACAGCCAGAAGGGTTGCATCACTAGCTTTGAACTCCAAGTCCGTGCTTCTCACAGAGAAAGATTGGTTTCATTACTCCTCCGTTAGAAGCATTGTTGGTGGATCGTGGTGGCTGATTTCATAAGAGGTGCCGCAGTCAGGAGACTCCTCTGTTACCGGAATAAATGTGAGTTTACTTTATTTAATTCAATTCATGCTAAAACGGGGGACCGAAATGTAAACATTTGAATATTCCAACTGGAGTGATCCTTTAATAAACTAGGTTTTGCGCTAGTCACTCCTCTCCTCCTCAGATGGTTAGGGGCAGAATAAATAAATAAAGGTACTTAATAACAATAGCTCTAAAATGCATTTATATAACCCACAGTTCATCGTAACCTCAGGCTCCCTCAGTGATACAGTTTGACCCGATGGCTACTCTACCAGCCAATCACAATGCAGGAGAAGCTTGATCAATGGCCAAAACCTTCCCAACCAGAACAAAAGGATTGTGTGGATTCTGGACGATATTTTAACAAAAGTGGCAGATGAATATGTTCTTTTCTTGTATTATTTTAAGGGTCTTTATCTGTGAACTGTAGATAAGCATTCAAAGACTTAGCAACAGTGGATGTTTTAATACGTTGTATTATTTATGTTTTAGGTTTATTTTATTTAAAGGGTTACTCCAAGCATCATAAAACACTACAGCTCGCTGTACCCTGATGCCATCCCCTGGTATTGGGGCAAACTGTTTTGCAAATACTTTTACCTGGGTCCCACTGGGCGTTGTGTCCTATGCTGCTGTCTGTGGCAACATCCAGCTTCTGCAACGCTACTGGAGTCAGATGCCGATCCCACCCAGCCATTCAATGGCTGAGAGTGTCAGATGATGGCTCTGGGCCAATTAATGATATTCTGTGCACCAGACTATTCTCAGAATTGACATTAGCCAGTCCGCAACTCTAGTAATTGGCTGGCTAAAGACGCCCCAGTGACGCTACCAGAAGTGGAGTTAAAACTCCAGCAGCAAAGGGGTTAAATGTGAAAAGCTGCACAGATTCCAGGCACCATGACCACTTCAAATAACCGCAGTGGTTATTGTGCTTGGAGGAACTCTTTAATGTACTTGATGGTTTAATGGCTTGAGGGTACTGTGGGACTACACACAGTTCATTAAGGAAAATAATAACTCACCTATTGTCAAAAAGTCCGGAGGGATCATCCATGGGCGCCGTTACTCTGATAAGTGGCCCGATTAAGCCATGTTCTCACAAATGCTATGCAGCCTACTGGGTACAAATAGCTCTTCTAACTGGACAACATTAAAGGAACACTGAGCACCATAACAACTTCATCTGATTCAAGTTGGTATAGTGCTAGAAGGTCCCTGGCAATAGCACTGGCTCTGTCGTCCCTCTTTCAAGCCAACTTTATGAATTGGGATCACTGACTGGCTGAGAGCATCAGCTGACTGCTCTCAGCCAATCAGTAGCAGCTCTACTGCCGTTTTAGAGAATTCTAGAAAAATTAAGGGCAGAGAGACAGTAAGAGGCAGCGCTGGAACACAGACTTTGAGGTTAAACCATTAGAGAACGGTTAACCCTCCTGGCACCATAACAACTTCATTTTGGTAAAGTAGTTATGGTGCCTTTCAGGAACATGTGCAAAATGGTAAAGTGTGATTGGTGGAAGTTGCATTTAACCTTGGAACGCATGTTCGTGAAATGGATCGCCAACTGGAGAGGAAAAGTGACGGAACTGGTATAAGAGGAGAGCCGAATGGCTGTAGATAATTATTAGAAGAAAAACTGTGAATTGTACCTATAAATACTGGATATATGAGATCTTATATTATACCCTCTGTCACAAAACGCATTTGGTGAGAGACCGACAATAATTACGGGAGATTTTTATTGTTTACAAAGCTGTACTTGCGCTATATTATTTATTTACCATTACTGAGTGTTTCACCCAGCACTCCATAATAAAAGTAAGAAATGTTTTGCACTATGGAGATCGATCTCTCTCCTTTCTATCTTATGACTGCATTGAGCTTTCGAATAGAAAATCCTGTAATAGAAAGACTGTAATTTACCAAGATTGACGGTGGTTATAGTTCCATCTAGATCGCCCCTGCTTGCTAATGTTTGTGGAGGTTATATTTTTGGAGGATATATATCCATTTAAGGAATCCATGTTTGACCTCTTACTTGGGATCCACAGGGTGCTGATACCTGTCCACACGAACAACAGAGATCTGAACGTCCAGTAGGTCTCCTGAGTGAAATTGTGCAGTGTAGGGCTCAGCTCATTGGCTGAGAGTGTCAGCTTATCGCTCTCTGGCATCAGTGGAGGTTAGGGAGCAGGACTGTGGACCATAGATAAGAAGTAAAAAAATAAAAATAAAAAAAACAACAGTTTGACTACTTACTGTAGGGAGCATTGGGGCACTCCTGCCACCATAACCACTGCAGTGATCCCATTAACTCTTAAGCGGGATACCTGAAACAAAGCACAAAAATCGGCTAAACTTTCTGCTGTGAAAAGTACAAGACAAACCCCAAATAAATAAACAATAAAATATTGTCTGCTTTAGCAATGTAAAGTGCAATATTGGTGGAGGTCCATGAAGGGGTTAATATTTAACAGAACTGAGAGCAATTCCTATGCACAGCACTGACTCTCTCCTACACAGACAGGGTTAATGTCCCTGATTAGGTGAAACCTGGCTGGAACACAGGAATGCTGCCCTCAGTGGCCCTGCTGCCAGCCAGCCCGGCGAGGAGAGGGTTAATGGGGCGGGGCCTGGCCGCAGGAGGAGGAGGTGGCCGCAGCGCAGCCCCTAGTCTGTAACTTGTTACTGGGAAAGGAGAAGTTTGCAGCTCAGTGAGTGGGAGAGTGGAGGAAGGGTGGAGAGACACGGGGCACAAACTGTCTGGAGATGGCTTTCAGAAGGAGGAAAACTTACCCCATCTTCAGCCAGGAGTTTGTCATCCACAACCATGCGGACATCTGCCTCTTCCTGGCCATCGTGGTCCTCATTGGGCTCATGTTTGAGGTGAGAGACCCCCACCCCAGCTCCCAGGCTCAGTGCCCCCTAGGATGCAATCAGGCTGGGACCCTGAGTCTGGATGGAGTCCCAAGTCACTGCACTGTCTGCTCTCTGTGGGGCAAGTCATTAAGGAGGGGAGCTTTTGGGATGTTGCAGATTCTGGGGGGAGCTTTTGGAACGTTGCAGATTCCGGGGGGAGCTTTTGGAACGTTGCAGATTCCGGGGGGAGCTTTTGGAATGTTGCAGATTCTGGGGGGAGCTTTTGGAATGTTGCAGATTCTGAGGGGAGCTTTTGGAATGTTGCAGATTCTGAGGGGAGCTTTTGGAATGTTGCAGATTCTGAGGGGAGCTTTTGGAATGTTGCAGATTCTGAAGGGAGCTTTTGGAATGTTGCAGATTCTGGGGGGAGCTTTTGGAATGTTGCAGATTCTGGGGGGAGCTTTTGGAACGTTGCAGATTCTGAGGGGAGCTTTTGGAATGTTTCAGATTCTAGGGGGAGCTTTTGGAATGTTGCAGATTCTGGGGGGAGCTTTTGGAACGTTGCAGATTCTGGGGCAGATTCTGGGGGGAGCTTTTGGAATGAATACTGCAGATTCAGGGGGGAGCTTTTGGAATGTTGCAGATTCTGAGGGGAGCTCTTGGAATGTTGCAAACTCTGAGGGAGCTCTATTAGCTAACCAGAACTCCTTTCATAGTTCCATCCCTGGTTCTGCCATAATTCCCAAGGTTGCTCCTTATTGGAATGAGATATGGGGTACGTGCTTGATTCTAATTGGTGGTGAAGCCCTGCAGCTGTCCCTTTAAATGCATACTTTGATTCCCATTGATACTGCAAGGGTTGATTGGAATACCGTTAAAAAGACAGTCCATCTCATTGCAATCTCTCTCCTGCACAGAGATCTAATTACAAAACTATTTCCTTTTTATCTGCTATCTAATTATACCCCAAGCCCCCTCCCATTCCTGGGAAATCCACAATTCACATCTCACATTGCCCTGTTTCATATAAGCACCAGCTCTTATCTGTGAGAGTTTTTATCCTGGGGGAAAAGATATCTTGTATATTTCTTTTTAGCAGGTTTTTTTTTTAAATTTTTTTTCATTTTTTATTTATTTATTTTTAAAAAAATATTCTTAAAATTCAGACATAATTAAAGATATTGGTGTGTGTGTGTGTGTGTGTGTATAAGTAAAAGAGAACCTTGACTTTAATCTGTAAAATTTGCAGCACTTTTAAACACAGCGCAATGGGGCAGATTTGGAGCTTTGTCCCCAGGGAGTTGGGCATGTTTCTATTTGGTGTGTCTAGCACAGACTGTCCCCATTCAACCTCAGATTTTGCCAGGGTGGCAGGCAGGCCAGGAACTGCAGGAGTCACTGTAGGGAGAGGGACCTTATTTTACAAGGTACTGCAGGGCTCCTAATCAAGAATATGTACCTTGCTTTAATTTGAGATTTTTAAACAATGGCACACTCTGCATAACTGACATGTAATTGTATTTAGTACTTCCTCGTCTGTGTAACACGCATATGCCACTTTTTTGTTAACTTTTTTTCTGCTATGCTGCTTCTTCTTTTCTTTTCTTTTTTCTTTTTTTAATGGGTGGTCGTTACATTTACACAATTTCGGTGCACTTGTATGTGTTTTAAAAAAAAAATAAAATTTTTAATGTTTTTTCTAATGTATTTTATATTTATTTTGCTACGAGTAGGTTAACATGCCATTGTGCTTGCCGATCTAGATATATCCATTTAATTGATATTGTTTGTTGCCCTTAGGCTTTTGGCAGTAGCGGGAATGGGCCTAGGGTCACCATATGTAAGTTTAGCATTGTGCTTGTTGGTTTCCTTGGTAACTACCAAGCATCCATCGTGAGCTGGCTGCGTGGATGTCTGTGGCCAAGATTGATCAAACCAATGAGAAGAACATTTTCCTGATGTTTGACAGACACTGGTTCTTATTAATATAGCCCCATTTCCGATAACGGTTTTCTAGGAAAGTGAATATATTGCCGAGATTGTTGCCTGGGGATCTTGTGGTGATTTTATAAAATTAATTTATTACATTACTATGCATGTCCTGAATTATATAATGATACTTAATTAGTTCTATTTCCGCCAGCTGTTGTGTTGTCTATCAACTGCTTAAAGGGTTGCTCCCAAGCACCATAACCACTTCAGTGATAACGGCGATCGTGCCTGGAGTTCGTACTTGCAGTGTTTCTCTTTGAAACGCTACACATAGAGTTAAACCCCTTCGGTAACTCCACCTATTGCAACGTAACTGGGGCGTTTTAATTCTGTGCATACTGGACATCTGTTGGTGATAGTAGTCTAATGGCGGCAGGGCCCCTCTCTGTATGTCGCCCAAGTCCTCTAGTCAGACCATCCTTTCCCTGTATCCCCCTTACGCCCCTAAAATAAAGAGTGACTTCAGTTAGGGGCGGGGAGGGGGAAATCATAACAGAGGTAACGTATTACTTTATTTTTTATTTATTTCAATTTTACGTGGGGCGGGAGGGGAGGCCTGGTGGCAAGGGTTACATTAAGCAAATACAGTGTTTTATTAAAATAGTTATTTGGTTCAAGTAATCATTTAACATCAGAATATAACCTCAAGACATGTACACCATTCATTAAATTGATATTGGTGGCAATATGTGCCCTGAAGGTTTGTAAAACCAATCGACATTTTGAAGTCTAAGCACCAAATGATTAGAGTATTTTTGGGCTGTTTGACACTTACCTTGATCTCTTGGGTGCCTCCAATCTGGTCCTATCTTTAGAAATTGCTAAAGCAGATTCTGTCAATTTTCAGGAAAAGTTGATATATCTAATGTGGAAGGAGAATGTCTGTCTGTCTGTCTGTCTGTCTGTCTGTCTGTCTGCTTTAGATATTTCTGAAGTCGTGCCGGACCGCGACACCTGGAAGGCCAACGCAAGTTGGAAAGCGGTTGACTACCTACCGTGTGATGGTGAATAGATTGCCCGTGAGGTCCAGACTAATTTTTTTTATTTTTTCTTCTCAGTTAAGTTTAATAGTTTTTCAAAGACAAAAGTTAAACAAGTCATAAGAGGAGAGGAATGTCCAAACTGTACTACTTCTGAGCTCTCTGTTATTTTCAGATCATTTTTAGGTTTCGGCTAAGCTAGATTTAACTCCCAATTTTAATAAATAAGAAAAATACCAGTTTTTTGAAGGCACCCATTTGCAAATCTACAGCCTGTGTGTGTAAACCAGGAAGTGGCTGAGAACAAAGCTACATTGATGTAAATAAGTGAGTGAGCCTGTACAAGTTTGGACGTGCGTTGCGTGTTCACTCAATGTGTGCCATACAATCGCTAGTAAGGTTTACTCCTTTGACATCGTCAACACGCTTCCCAGCCGACTCTGATTCCTTCGTCCCATTCTAGGTTTAATCAGTGGTGCTTTTGGGAAGAACAGGAAAATGTCAGGAAGCACAGCACAGAGTAATATTAGGACACTGATTTAGAAGTGATCAGCGCATGTGCAGCCCTGAATTGGGCCCTTCAAAGATGTCCTACAGAGCAGGCTGACATGGCCTTTTCTTGTGTGACACACCACTTCTTCTGAATTGGCCTGTCCCACTCATCGTTTCTCTCTTTTTGAGAGGGATTTTAGGAGCTATAAATTTAGCAAATTCCTGGAGCTATAATATACAGATTTATATGATGCAGGGACAGGACACTTTGTTAGCCTATGCAATTTGTTCAGATTCTTGGGGTGCCTGGAGTCTCCTTTTTGGCTTGTTGTGAAAATGGTGAACTAGATCTTCGAGATTTCAGGAGACTACGTTAGTGGTGAATAAAACTACGGGATTAAACTACAACTGCGTTGTGGGTGACTTTGTTGCCACATAGTCATGGCCTGTGGAGTGATTCTGTTTAAACGCATGCGCGCTTGGCATGTTAACATAAAGCAAACTAACGAGATTATTTTTAGAAAGAAAAGATTAGCACAACATATCGCTAGCAATTCTTTAGCAATCTGGTTGTGCAATAATCTCATTACTGACCGTGAATCTTTAAGAAACAGCAGCATAAAAAGAAAATTGTTTTATATGAATGGATAGAATTTAAATTTTTTTTTTTTTAAATATATAAAATACATACAATATGCGCTAGTAATTTTGGCATGTAAAAAGGTAGTTCGGCTGGCCGGTGCACAAACTGCAAAGTTTGTATAACATTCCGCTGTCAGTGCTTGTTCATTGTTTATCATACACTGCATGTATCCCATAATCTTCAGCTCACCTGTTGTCCATGGGAAACGTGTTAAGTTTTAATGAGTTGTTTTGTGATCAGAGGTTAGCGGGCTCATTGCTGCAGAGAGGTTTTCAAATCTCGGAAGATGCAATAAATAGTATTAGGGAGACATGATGCAAGGAGTTTGTGTAATTTTGGTTATTAAAATATACCTTTTTTTTTATATCTAAAAGCATTTAGTAAGTGCTTTTAAACAGCGATTAGCTTGGGGAAAGTAAGATTGAGTCATTTTCTTATCTTGGGACTGCAAGTCTAGGTTAATCATATAGATAAGTAATCGCAAACCTATAGCTATTCATTTTAGAATTATAGAACCTGAGGTTCCACCCTGTGTCTAGCAGATTTCCTTGATATATATATAGTCTGTTTTGATAATATTAAAAGGAATGCTGTAGCAGTATTTTATTATTAGATTTCTTCTTTTCATGTGCCTTCCCCTTTTTATTATAAAAATTCTATATTATTAACAAAATCGTCATAAAACTGACATTTATTCCAGCACTGAGCCATACTTCTCTTGTAAGCTGACTCTCCTCTCCAATTTTGATGACTTCTTTCCAAAGCTTATTGCTTAGATAAGCAATAAGAACACGCGGTGCATGCGCCACAATTGGCGTGCTCCACCAAACCAATGCTTCTCATAGAGAAGCATAGAATTCAGCGCTTTTGTGAGATGCCTTGGCCACATTTGTGCGTGTGCTCTGCATGCTGAAGCTGAATGTGAAGACCTTCAAAAGGAAGAAGTAACTGTCTGTTTGACTGCCACCAGAGGTAGGTTTTTGGTCAAATATTAACGGTGCCATTTCTCAGAAACAGCAGTGTTTTACGTTGTCTGAGAAAAGGCACAGGATCTATTTAAACACACCACTGCATTAAGATGTAGCCCCCCATTTCACCTTCCACCCCCTCCTTTGTCACCAGTGGGGGACTTAGCAAATACTTTAAAGTTCCCAGACGGTGACAGCTCCACTTTAAGTGTGCCCTTTTAAGTTTGATCTATATTAATATCTAGATCTATATTAATATACTCAATCACAGTTTGGGACGTTGGACCATGTTTCCACATAAAATTGCCCTGTGTTTCCTCCACTTTTATTTTTGTCTCTATCAGGTTAGATTTGTGTTAAATTTTGTGTTTGCATACTGTAGCATAGCAATACATTTAAATTTAGCACACGTCATTTTATAAAGCTTCAAATGCTTTTAATATAGAAGCTTTGTTGTACTTGGGTTACATGCGCGACAAGTGCCGCAACACGGAACAGAAGGATGGCGGTAGTACAGAACAGAGGGAGGTGAGGAGGGTTGGGTAGAGGCAGTGCTAAAGGGGAGGATTTTTTTTTTTGTAGGGGGCAGGAAGAACTGAGGGAATTCCGGATGAATGGCAAACTGAGGGTACGATTAAGCAAGCAGTGTATTACAGGCTTCACATTGCAGGCGCTCTCAGAGTTCAAGTAAAGAAGCTGATTACGTCTCAGCTTGCAGTGCATGCTAACCACCGACCCTTTTTATTTTATTTTTTATTTTTAATGCACATCATTGAGATTTAGTCCAAAGCAGTGTTCCAGGCGACCAATTCATGTGCGCAGGAGGTGTGGTTTCGCGGTCAAGGTTGAAACCCATTTCCCTTACTCCACGTTTATAATGAAAATAATAGGAATATGCTCAAATTTAGTGCTTTCTATGTGTAGGCAGTGTTCCAAGCTGCTTGAACTGTGGCCCATTCTAAAAGCAGAAGTGGTCATGGTGGTTGGTATGACCCTTCCATTGAAAATAGTTGGTTATTTAAAGGGGCATACCATCTAATATGACACTGTCCTCTTTTGGAGCACTCGTTTTCCAGTATGATTTACAAGACAAATGACTAGCATGGTGTAGAATTATTTAAGGCCAAATGCTTGCTTGCTGCACTTAACATCTTTCAGTTTCCCCACTTTCACTGCTCAAAAATGATAAATGCTGTGTTTCTGAGCAGGCATTCGCTCCCTTCCATTGAGGCTACCTGGATGAGTCAGGTGAGCAGTTACATATAACTCTGCTGTTACTATTCCCATTGCAGTGTGCAGCCTACCCCAACTGCACTTTGTCATCATATGTCCTGTGAATAATGGATATCCTTTAATTTTAATTAAACCGATACTGAGCCTGGGCTTCACAATAGTACATAACACTCTCTGCTAAAAAGACAGTCTGTTATTCCCACGACCAAGGTCCAGGACAGGTGTAGGCATTCATTCGCCACCCTGGATTTTGTGGTCTGTCTCTCCTAATGCTTTGCCAGTATTATGGGTTCATGAGCATAATGGGAGATGTAGTTCAAACATCTGGAGTGCCAAAAATGCCTAGCCCTGGTCTATGAAATGGCAAACAAGCGGTCAAAACATTTTAAATGGCTCTGTCATGTTTGGGTTCTTTGCATATTTTACAAAGACCCCCTAAGGTGACATCATTACTTGGTGGCTGAGGTGAGAAATTGAGGGGAGATACTCGCTTGAAGCCCTTCCTTCTTCCAGCAGAATCCGACATCTTCCTTCTGGTGCTACAACCTCCACCAGCATGTATCACTGCTGTACTCTCACACAGGAACCAGAGTAGAATGCTGAGGTCTGCAGGACCCCGCAATGCATGAGAAAATACCCCTTTTGCACAACCTTGAAGTCCCTGTCTTGCATCTTTTGATTGAGCTGAAATTTCGAAGACATTATAACTGTCAGTTTGAGTATTCAGAAAGATTTATCTTTATGAAATCTCCATAGTTATTGCCGTTACAGATCCACTTTAATAGCTAGCTATGCTCATGTAAGCCATGCACGAGGACTCTTGCCAAAACGCAATTTACTGCTCATTGTTGTTCGGCTACTGTCTCCTTTTACTTTGCCGCTGACTGACAGGAATGCCAGTGCTTTCTGGCAGAGTTTTCTCAACTAGCGCAGCTATTTATAAACGGCGATCTGTCTGACTCGGTTCGGTAGATGAGTGGACCCCCAGAGCGCCCTTAGTGATCTCAAACATACACCTTGGTATTGATCTTTTATAGACGCAAAGTGTATTTCTTAGCTGGCTTTGCAATTTCAACTTTAATATCAAGTAAGCCAGTCACGCGGCAAATTTCAAACTGGACCTGTTCACTGAATGCCATCTTGCTCTGTAGCCCATGCTGGTTTTTTAAAGGTTTTTTTTTTTTTTTTTCTGTTGTGGATGGGCAGATTTGCATAGATTTTAATGAAATAGACATTTTTAGTTTTATATTCAAAATATGATGTTAACGGAACAAATATAGCAGTACGAGATATTTACTAGCAGCTTGACAAAAATAAATAAAAATTAAATCCTGGGGTTCCCGCTGCACCCACAGATTAGTCTTTTGTCTACCGCTTGGATAATCCGGAAGTTTCAATAAGTGGGCATGGGGGACCACAGCCATGTTACCGCACGTGTAGATATGGCGCTGTGAAAATGCCATGTTTGTGATGCACTTTCTGTTTGTTTCCACAAAAAGGCCTTTATACCTGAACATACATGAGTAGACGTGATTCTGGCCAAACGTGTCTTCTGAAAGACCTATCCCTATGGCCATCCCTGCGTGTGACTGATTGCATTGCTACGTAGTTTTAACACTGCTAGCTGCTCTGGAGGGGATTAGAATGGCGCATGTCTTCTAGCAGAGTGTTCGCTCCACCAGACAGCTTCGATTCCCAGGCAGAGTTCAATGGTAATGTTTGCCTATTCTGACATACAGGACCCTAAACATTGTTTCCACTGAAAAGGAAGCGATTTCCTGTTAGACTGGCTTTTTGTTACAGATTTCAATGATGCCTTTTTGAGAAAATTAGCAACTTGCATACCAAGGGCCGATGTATTGCCATGGGTTGCATTGTGGCATCTTCCGGGTTGAGATAAAAAAACAAACAAACATGTAATTGCAAAGCGTAGAGAAAAACAAAATAGATGTGGAGTCAAAAATGGTAAAGGAGAATAAATTACAATCGGATATTGAAAATTCCGCATTTAATTTACATGTTAAATATTTATTTTTTTTGTACGGTTGTTCAGTCTCCTGAAAATCTTGCCATAAATTAGTTTTAGGTTTACTCCAAACACACCACGACCACTTCAGTGCTATAAAGTGGCCATGGTGCTTGAAGTCAGTATGTGCTGCATTTCAGTTTGAGGTTTAAATCCACCTGTAGTGGCGTTATTAAGCAGACTGGAACGCGGGTTCTGGCATGGTTCCTTTTTAATTCTGTGCATGATGGGAGTTTGTCTTCAGGACACATAGCGTGGCACAGCCACATCCCTTCACGCTGCCCATGTCATTCTGTCAGCCCGTCTTCTGGATCATAACTTCCTCAATAGTGAGGGGGTGTGATTTCACCAAAGTCAAGCGACTGCAGGGAGAACTTGGCATCAGTGTAGGATGCTTTTGCTTTTAATAAGTGTTGTTGTGCTTTTTTTTTTTTGCCTTGCCCTTTAAAACAATAATACAGGTGAGTTAATGTTATTTTTCTCTAAGCAGAATAGTTTGGCTCGGAAGAATAGGATGGCATTCAGATACTTCATCTCACTGATGCGATTAGGTTATCTGAAGTGGTTATGGTGCCTAGAGTGTTCCTTTAATGCAGTAACACCTTAATGACTTGTGCCTTTTTGAGATTTGCTATATAATTCTTCCATTATAATGTAATGCGGTTTCTTAAAGACATTTTTTTTTGAGGGACAGATTTGGCTTTGTTTGTGTTTAGGATTTTAGTAAATTTTGGACCATTTATAGCAAATATTGCGAGATGTGAATAATGATATTAAAATTAAAGGGACACATGGTAATAACTTCATCTAAATGGAGTTGTTATGATGCCAGAAGGCCCCCGGGTGCACCCCTACTTTAAGAGGTTAAGATGTTCTTAAATGGTGTAACCCCAAAGTTTGCCTTCAGGGCTCCATGCAGCTTGTAAATCTCAGTTAAAAGTTCGAGTGCTGATTGGTGTAGAGCGGTAATCCAATCCGTAGCTTTCCATTGATTTAAAAGAAACTCACTTGTGGCAAACCTAGCCACTTAGACTAGACAGAGACAATATGTTTTTAAGGGTTGCCTGTATATTCATTACAATTGTATATGTGCCTGGTTGTACTATGCTGTATCCTGTGTGCTGTATTGCCCGTATTAGCTATCTGCCGAAAGCAGATAGTCATTTTCTATTTCGTTTCACGAACAGCGCCTTTGCGGGCTGTTCATGAACTATCCTGTAATAGCCCACACACTAAGAGATGTGTGGCGCTTGTTAACCGATTGCAACAATGTTGCAATCGGCAATTAGAGACTCTACTAGGTGGCCGTCGTTCGACAACCGATCACGCGGCGGTCTCGTACAGCAGTGCCTGATGGGAGAAATGCCCAGAATGTGAAGTCCCCCATGTAGTCCCTTACTGTGTTACCCCTGCTAAGTCAGTATGGAAACCCCTTGCATGGGGACTTGCATAAATACTGGAGCTGCAAATAAAGACCTCAGTTGACTCCCAGAACTGTGTTTCGTCCGGTTACTGGGGGATTTGGGATATTGCATTACTTTTCAGCGCTTGACTGTGGATTACTGTATGTACCAGCGGAATTCGTGGGATTTAATAGTGCCGATCCGCTACATCACTTTTTTTTTTTTTAACTCAATGTGGAGCTACTTATTGGCTTAGAGCGCCAATCAGTGGCACCCCTGGCCACATTTTGCCAAATCCTGCTGTGGCTATAACTTAATTAGCAGTCACATAATCCACTGCTTCACAAAAGTATATATTTGTAGAAAGAAGACTCCTTTTGGTATTTAACTATTTTAGCAGTTTTCTCTGCCAAATCTGCTTTTTACATGGTTTATTTTTTTTTAAACTTTTTTTTTTTTTACACAAGTTTTATTTTCCTACGTGAATCACCATGTATATCCCTCTAATGTAAAGCCTTGGATTTGTCTGTCGGATTACAGCAATATCCTCGCTTTATACCTTTTGCTAGATATTTAAGTTATAGTTTAAATTGGCGACCTGCCATTTCTTGTCCAGACTTGCAATTTTAACACATTGATTTACAGGGCCCATGTCTGCTTTGGAGTACAGTGACTGCCCTCAGCTGCACATCACCCCCATCATTGCATTCAATTTGCCAAAATCTACAACCTCTGCTTTATCTGGGATATTCTAAGCCGTAAGACATGACCACCTCATCTGCCTTTTTGTTGAAATTAAAGTGAATGTTTGTTTAAATTTCTTCTTTTTTTGTGTGTGTGTTTTTCACACACGCATTGCATTCTCATGGTGAATCCCACTGTCCTGGGTTGTCGACTACTGTAAAAGCCCCAGGTTTTTATTCTGCTATTGACGCAGAGTACAACAACCGTGCCCATTTTTTGCCAGCTGGCTTTGCAAGATTAATGTCTCTTTTGGGGCAGACTAGAAGCCCCCAGATTCACGTTCACCCATCATGGTATACCATTTACAAAAGTCGATGGCTTGCGCCATTTCACGTAGTATGTATTTATTATCGATCTCTGCTGAACTTAACGATTTATATATTTTTTGCAACTTTACAAAATCAATGTAAGGTTCACAAGCTTGGTGTGTGGCACTCCTGCGAGACCTCTAATTTGTGTTCTGCTATTCCACCTAATACAGCCATACCCCCATGTATACCTTTTGCCAGTTTTTTTTTAAGGAAAACAGGAGATTAAAATTCGATCCTCTAGTATTGCAGATTGATTTGCATGGCCCATTTCTATTATGGGTATAATCGTAGTCCATCATATTCAAATAAGCCCTTCCATTGTGCATCATTTGCAAAGTTAGACCATGTAAGTCAACCACAGTGAAACGATTTATTTAAAGGTATACTTGGCCAGTGAGCTAGCTTAACTCAAAAAAGCCAACAGAAGCTCCATGTAGGAGCTTCCATCATTCCCTGATGCTGAGAACACGCCTGCTGGACCCCAGGTAAGTTGTTTTGGTACTTGGAGTACTCCAATAACACATTTTCCAAAGCAGAGTACAGGCTTTGAGAGCACTATATAGCTTGTCCTGTTCTCCTTATTTGCACATATTTGGCAACGCTTTTGGAGACATTGTTTTTTGGAGGCTGGAAAGGATTTTAACGTGTATTTCCACTAGAATTCCCCCAAAAATGATTTCAAGCAGAAACTGGAGACTAGAGCGTGCTGTAGTTGTTATGGTGTTTATACTGTTCCTAATTAGCTATTGGTTGTAGAAACAAAATATCATAAGTGACACCTAAGGATACCCAAGCATTATTCTAGCACCTTAATGTACTCGTTCTGGTGCAAGGTGACTGGGTGCAGTCTCTCCTTTTTATTTATTTATTTATTTTGGACTCCTACGGCCTGCATTAAAACAAAATGGCTTAATTTTAAATCTGATGTTTATTTGCTTTAGAAAATTTTTACCTCCTGCTCTGTAAATTGCATGATTTTGCTCTTACACGCCGAAAAGTCATGATTTTATTAAAGACACGGAGGCGAGTATTGCATATCCCTTTCTTTACTGTCCACCAATAGCGGCAAAGAATACAAACAGAATGAAAAAAATAATGAACATACAGTCACATAGGCCCCTCCCCGCTCAGGTCCCAGTATAATAGGCAGCACTTCCCTTCCATTTCCCTCTTTCTGAAGATGCGACCCTACAAAATAATGTCAATAACCAAGAACAGCGATAATGCCCAATGAGGAGACAACGTAGAACTGTTCGCCAAGATGAGGATAACACTTCAACAACAGGGAAGCACAACCGGATAATCATAGGACCAAACTCTATCAGCAGGGGGAGTCCTAACAAGCTGAAGCATGGCATTCCACCTCGTCGGATCAGGCTGTGAAAACATGAAGGAACAGGAGCCCACAGGTTAAAGTCGATACTTGCAACCAAGTTCAAGGCCAGACTAAGCAAACCCCACATATCTACAGTCCTACAATTCAGTGTAATTAAACAAGTCAAGGTACATAATCAACCCTGTTACGACACGGCCCCACTTACCATACCAAACCATTCAATGTAACTCTTCTAAACATACAACAAACTGGGTGGGGAAAAAAACATAACATAATAAATATAACATGGGTGGGACAATACTCGCCTCTGTGTCTTTAATAAAATCATGACTTTTCGTCATGTAATAGCAAAATCATGCAATTTTATAACAAGGCACGGAGGCTCATATTGCAAGTTTAAAGCTGGTCCACTACTGCAGCAAACCTATGCGGGGCCGGTCGAAAGTAAAATTCCCAGAAAGTAGATTCCCTTGACCAATCGGCTGTCCTCATGAGATCCTCCAGACGCGCACCTGCAGTCATCATCGAAGAGGCCGAAGCCCCCCGGAACGAATGGGCGCCAAAGACCGTGGTATTAATGCCCTCCTGAGACAATAACCACTTCACCCAGCATGCCAATGTGGTGCTAGATACCGGGTGGGAAGGAGGACGAAAGGATAGAAACAGCTGTGGAGAAATAGCGCTACGGTGGAGTTTGGTGCGATCTTCATATTCGCGTAGGCAAGCCACTGGACACCATGCCGGAGAGGTAGGGAAACTCTGGTAGGACACCGATTTGATAGACGTCTTAGTTCGTCGACTGATGTTGAACGTTACCCCATCTGGGGTGTATGACCTGGCGTCAAAGTCCAGAGGTCTGACTTCCGAGACCCTCTTGCATGAGACAAGGCAGAGCAGGCAAACTAACTTGGCTGATAATTGTTTTAAGGAGAGTGCTGAGTTAGCGGGCCAGGATGAGAGAAAAGACAATACAACGGAGACATCCCAGGTCGTGGAGTAGCAAGGCCTGGGTGGTCGGGAGAATCGAGAGCCCTTGAGAAGTCGGCACACTAAGGGGTGTTGCCCCGCGGGACATCTGTCAAATCCTTGATGAGTCGAAGAGATGGCAGACCAGGAGCGCGGGATCATGGAGAATGGAGGGAGAGCATACCAGAGGTCTCCGCTCCAGTCTTGCAGGAAGGCGTCTACTGCCTCCGATGTCAGATCCGGCCTCCAGCTGAGAAACGTGACAGTTGTGTGTTAAGCCGGGATGTGAAGAGGTCGATGGTAAAGGGACCCCAGAGAGATGATATACTGGAGAACACGACCATGTCCAATCTCCAGTTGCTGGTGTCCGAAAGATATCGTGACCCCCAGCCCGCTTGAACATTGTGCATGCCAGGTAAGTATTCAGCGTAAGCCATCAGGTTCTGTTCCAGGCAAAACTCCCAAAAGTCTCTTGCCAATCTGGCCAACACCGCAGACTGTGTACCGCCTATGTGGTTGACATATCTCACTGCTGAGACATTGTCCATGCGGAGACGGATGCATGCCAGGGCCTGGTCCCTCGCGAAACTGCGGATGGCGAAGGAGCCTGCCAGGAGCTCCAGCGCGTTGATGTGTAGCCGGGATTCGGATTCCGACCTGCGGCCTCCTGTCGAAACCCCCTTGCAATGGCCCCCCAGCCATGGAGGCTCGCATCGGAGTCGATGGTGAATTCTGGCAGCAAGCCGAAGATCGCTTTGCCGTTCCACGCGGACAGGTTGAGGATCCACCATCGTAATTCGGCCTTTGTTTCGCTGTCCAGTGACACCTGATCCGCGTAGGATGCACCGGCCCTTAGGTGCGCTATTTTCAGGCACTGTAGCGCTTGGTAGTGTATCAGGCCTGGAAATACTGCCTGTATAGCTAAGGCCAGTAGGCCGATGAGCCGTGCAAGCTGGGGCAGAATGAGGGCTCTGCGAAGCTGTTTGCGGATGGATCGAATCTTGGTCATCGGCTGGCTCACTGTCGCCTCCCCCGAGTCCACGAGGAACCCTAGGAATTCCATGCGAGTGGCGGGGGTCAGGCATGATAATGAATCGCAAGCGAGAAAGGTTTATGGCCAACCGTAGGTGTGTAAGGAGAGTGGAGCGCTCCTGAGCCATGAGAAGGATGTCGTCCAGGTATATAATTAGACAAATGCCCCGACTGCACAACCAGGCCATCACAGGTCGCAGCAGTTTCGTGAAGCACCACGGTGCTGAGGAGAGGCCAAAGGGCAGGCAGGTAAATCACCAAATCTCGTGCCGCCAGTGGAAGCGCAGGAGGTCTCGGGATGTCACTACAATCGGTACAGTCAGGTACGCATCTTTGAGATCTAGTTTTGCTAGTCAGTCTCCGTGTAGAAAAGATCTCGTAGCAGGTGAATACCCTCCATCTTGAAATGACGGTACCGAACCATGGCATTGAGGGGGCGCAGATTTGACGGGCCTCATTTGACCGCCCTTCTTTTCCACCAGGAAAATGTTGCTTGTAACACCTGCGGGGTTGAGAGGTGCCCGTTCTATAGCCCCTTTCACAAGGAGGGTGGAGATTTCTTCGTCGATCAATCTGCGATCCCGGAGTGAGAAGCAGATCGGTCGAGGAGGGGGAATGTGTACAAGGTACCCCACTAGTTCTATCTGGAAACCCCGAACAGTGGTCAGCACCCAAGGGTCTGAGGTAATTAGTGACCCAGCTGGGAAAAAATGTTGGAGTCTGCCCCCTACACAAACATGAGAAGAAATACGAGGTATGAGGGAACTCACCGTAAGGTCGTCTGGAACTGAAGTTGCCCCAGAAACCTCTGGATTGCCACTGGCGTCCGCGTGACGGGAAGAAAGTGGGACGAGTATTGGTCTCCTGGTAGTTAACACGTTGCTGGAAGGAGCTTCGTCCTGTGCCACGCGATTGGAAGTAGGTACGGCCGGACAGTCTGCTCCTGGGGGAGACCCGCCCCTGGAATACCCGTCTCATGGAGGCCTGGGCCTTGTCAAGGGCTGTAAATGCCCAAACGAAACACCCTAAGTCTTTAATAAAGGAATTGCCGAAGAGTAAGCCTTGGGCGTCCTTACCAGCTTTTGTGAGGGCAAGATTGGCTAATTTGGTTCAATTTTAAACAAGATGGCTTTACGCTGTTCTATAGAGAGGGAGGTGTTAACACTCCCGACAATACAAATTGCTCTCTGGACCCAACCACGTAGGTCGTCAGGGTCAACCATGCGGTTCCCGCCCTGGCATCTTCCGCCAAGTCAAATAATTTTATGCCAGAGGGACGAAAATATCCAGGTGTTTATCCTGGCAAGATTTCAAGGCAGATTCTAGCCCCTTACGGGGGTTCCAGCCCAGTTTAGTGAGGAACGGAGTCATTTTGGGGTCTACCTCAGGAGTGTCACATACTTTATTGGGCACCACAGGCCTGGGACACTCGGCCCTCAATTTGTTACGTGCTGCTTTGCTAAGAGGGCGCCGTACCCAATTCTCAAGGTACGTGGCAACGTGGTCGGCCGGGAGCCACTCTGCTGACCTCGGATGGTGTAGGTCATCCGGGTCGAAGAGTGGGACATCTAACGGATCCACGAGGGCGGACCCCGCAGCTGCGGGGTGCCTAGTCCCTGCATCACTTCCAGGCGTCTCTGCCTGAGCAGAGGGAAGGAGGTCAAAGCCCATATCTACGGCATCCATATCAGTCACTGTCTGACTCAATCTTAGCCTCTCTATCTGTGCTCTGGCACATTTCCATAGCCGCGCCCGTTCTGCCTGGCGCTGAAAGGCTCTTTTGCGTGGATGGGACACACTTTCTGGGGCAACCGTAGGTACGCCAGTCATAGAGTTTCTGGAGGCAGAGGGATGTTTGGACTTATGGGTAGCCTTTCTGGGTACTTCTCCAGGCGGGTCCACAGAAGGACACGATAGTGGCGTTGTGGAGCCCGAGAAATGCTCGTCCGAAGGACGTGGCAATAGGGCTTGAGAAATAGTATGGAAGAGGGTAGATGACATGGACCCCATGGCTGCCATAATGGCGTCTGTCACTGAGCGCTGTAGCGCTAAGAATTGGGCCCCTTCAGGGTGGGTGGTTCTATCTACCAGGGTGGGTGGAGTGCCCGAGGTGACAGGGGTCTCACCCAAATTAAATGGGGCATCAGTCTCCCCACAGGGTGAGGATCCAGAAGGTAGGGTGGGGATCCAGAAGGTAGTCTGGGTTTAGGCATAATGGAGAATAAACAGGACCTAATCCCTAATTAGATGTAAGAATAGTAGGTACAGTAGGTACAAGAGCGATCTCACCAGGGCCCAGACCAGTGGCACACGCACACACGAGGTGGGAGGAAGACAGGAAGTCAGAAAATGGCCGCCGGCAATCTCATGAAATTCGCAGCAAAATATAGTGAAAATTCGTTATGTTAAAGAACCGAACGTTCGGTAGAAAATAAACAAATTTGTGGAAATAGACTAATATAAGGAAGAGTGGGGAAAAAAAAACAGACGAACGAACAGTTCATGCAAAAATTAGTCGAACTCAGCAAACAGGCGAATGGTGCTGTTGGGGAAAAGTGAACCGCATGTGTTCGTGACGAATCAGCCGAACGGGCTTAATTCGTGCACGAAAAACAGCCGAACACAGCGGAGAACGGGTGCAAAAGGGCGCCAAGGGTCAGGGAGAGGAATCAGCAAGACGGAGATAAGGAAAAACACAAGGAAAAGTCACAAGGACCAGGTCAATTGAAAAGGGGGTTATAAACAAAATCTATAACAGAGGAGGTCTGGACCCTGGGTACACAGAAAAAACACACAGATGTGTAGCATCAAACAAGCAGAGAAAAACAAATAATAAAAAAATCTCTTATAAATAAAATAGAAGACAATACAAGAATCAATAACAGATAAACCTATACAGTGTAATGCAAGGATATCAATAATAATATCAATAGCAGGTAATAAACGAGTAATCAGAGAGAAGATGTGACGTACTTATCTTTGTATCGGAGCAGCAAAGAAAGAGGGAAATGGAAGGGAAGTGCTGCCTATTATACTGGGACCTGAGCGGTGAGGGGCCTATGTGACTGTATGTTCATTATTTTTTTCATTCTGTTTGTATTCTTTGCCGCTATTGGTGGACAGTAAAGAAAGGGATATGCAATATGAGCCTCCGTGTCTTGTTATAAAATTGAACTTTAGTCACACGCAGGAGGCTCCTGCAAGGTCTAGCAAGCTATCAACCGTACAGGCAATAAATTCTAAAGTAAACACTATGTGCAATTCGGGAAGTGTAAACATTAGATCACCGGAAGTGTTTAGGAAGACTGTGTAAGTCACACACACACCTCTTGTAAACAAAGTGATTTAACTACTAAGTGGCAGAGAAAAGAGCAGTTTGACTTCAGGGCCCTGATCTGTACACCAAAAATGCTTTAATTAGCTAAAGTTGTTTTGGTGATTTGTAGCGTCTATTTAAGGTCTGCAGTCAGCCTTTTAAAATCCTGATGTCAGTGTGTTTGTGGCACAATTTGAGGTGGCAAACTGGTTGAAACCTGGCTCTAAATCCATCATATCCCATGATGCTGCACACAAATATGCATGTATGTGTATTCCTACATTGATATCGAATACAGTGCTAGAGTGCACACACGTGTTTGGACATTAAGTAACAAATACTCTTTAATGTGTATGTTAAAGGACCACTATAGGGCCCCCTAGTTTTTAATCCTGCAACTGAAAACAAAGCAGTTTCAGAGAAATTGCTATGTTTACACTGCAGGGTTAATCCAGCCTCTAGTGGCTGTCTCACTGACAGCCACTAGAGGCCGCTTCTGCGATTTACACTGCATAAATCGCATTTATTTGACGCTGGACGTCCTCACGGAGTTCAGTGTCAAATAAGATCCCAATAGGAAAGTATTGAGTAATGCTTTCCTATGGGCGGGTTGAATGCGCAGGCACCTCTGGCCGCGCATGCGCATTCTGCTCCACTCAGGAGCTGACGTCGATGGAGGAGGAGAGGTCACCGGTGCTGGATTAAGGTAAGCAAATAAATGATTAACCATTTACTCGTCACGGAAGGGGCTGACTAGGGCTCTATAGAGTTAGGAATACATATTTATATTCCTAATGCTATAGTGTTCCTTTAACATTTGTACAAACCTGAGAGAGAAATTATGCCGCCAGGCTGAAATGATTGGAAAGGTCGCATTTTTGATTGCGTAACTTTTTCAGTGTTTATTTTGGTTACAGTTGAAGGTATTTTTGCACAGACTAAACTGTCAAAATGTAATGGGAGATCTTCCCAATCTTTTGTAGCATAAAATAAAAAAAAAAATCCAATGGGCATGTTTATGTATTTAAATAACAATTTTTGTAATTTTTTTTTTTGGCTCACTATGCAGATGGTACTTGTCTCGGATATTCTTTGGATCCAGTGGATGTGCCCATCTGCATGAATGTGTTTTTTTTTTTTTTGTGTGTGTGTAAATTTCTGTTTATTAGAACTAATTTTTTATTTTTTTTCTGTTGCGTAACAATCCATGTCTTATCAACCATAGATGTACCTTGGCTACGGTCTGAGACCATGTACGGTATACAGTGATGGCGACCTGAGGTATGCTTTGCCTCTTAAACCCTTCAAATGTCATGTTGTTCAATTTATACTGTTTAGCTTGAAGATTCCGATATATAAATGATAAGCTAGGTATTTTGTACTCTCTTTTGTAGAATCTGTACCATGCCTGTTCTGGAGTCATGGTACCATCTAAAGGTTTTAACCTGTCTTGCCAGCCTCTGGTGCTTCATCGTAATCTCTGGGAGTACCAATAGAACATATGAATGGACATTTCATCAACTGCGCCATTTCGTATAAAAAATGCTTAATTCTTCCTTCCGTTTAAGCCAGGACCATCTTACTATAGCTCAGACTCAGAGATTTAGGCCCATTGTGGTGTTCCAGTTCCCTCACAGCCAGAGCTTGATGTTGCTCCGCACTATGTGAGTAAACACACTTTATATATGAGAAGCTTTTACATCAACTTAGAGAGATTCCAACCGGGACATCTTGGCAAGGTGCAGATTTAAAAACAAAACAAAAAAAATTAAACCAATAAAAAAAATTGCACTTTTCTAAAGTGACAAAGAGGGGGATACTTTGTGAACCCCTAAAATACCTACACACGCTGAAGTGCTTTAGGGGTGCGACGGGTTCTTTTAACACAAGTTGGAGATTATTTGTGATGATCAAAGGTGTCATTCAACAGCGTATTTCTTGTTTAAGTATTCCACTTATTATTTTTTTTAATTGCTTCATGCCACTATATGATGCAGCAACTGAGCGGTTCCCAATGTTGTTGTGGTATACATGTATAATCAGTATTTCATTGGAAGCGAGTTATTTACAGAAGCTGTGTACAATCTGCTGTTATCTCAAGGCCTGTGATTACACTTGGCCTTTTTTGCAATTTACAGATTGCAACACAATACACTGGAATTACTTTTATGTGCAGGTATCTTTATCTACAGCCGGTATATACCGTTAACTCTTTCTGTACCGGGGGTGAACAGTTACTTAAATGGCATTCAGTGGGTTAAAAGCTGGCTTCCTCTCAGCCGTAATGAAGGACAAGACATCTTCCTGTGTGTTGGACATTAATCCAGGCAATGTGTTAACCATTTGGGCACCTTTTGTAACCTAGATTTTGCTCTTTCAGTGTTTTCTCATTTTGAAAGGATTGATACGAATGTTTTCCTCTTTAACCCCTTAAGGACACATGACGTGTGACATGTCATGATTCCCTTTTATTCCACAAGTTTGGTCCTTAAGGGGTTAAAAAGAATTGTTAATGTTTCGGTTTTGTTGCTGTGTAGAATATTCAACCCAGCAGCAATCTCCGTATTATATAAGAGAGTGTGAATTGGGATTTCAAATGTTAGGCAAAAGTAGCCGAAGTGAAAACATAGGTGACTTGTTTCCAAATCTGATAGTTTGGCCTAACATTTTCATTAACGTGATATTTATTTATTTCACTTAGAATTTTTGGCATTTCACAAATTATTGCTTAACCCTGTGTGTGTGTGTGTGTGTTTTTACAATCAAAAGACAAAATGTATGTATAACCCACTTACCTTTCTTTTGCACACTCCAAGTGTGTTTTTTTTTTTTTTCGTTTTGTTTTTATTTATTTTTTATTGTATTTAAAGGAATTGTATAGTGTTAGTAATACAAATCTGTGTATTCTTAACACTATCAAGCCATCTGCTCCTCTCCCCCAGCATCCAATTTAGCTTCCTCTGACGGGGGGAGGGGGGGAGAGAGACGACTAATGCACATGCGTAGCGAGCACATTAGGCCCTCCCAATAGGAAAGCATTGCTTCAATTCTTTCCTATGGGGATTTTACAGACTCTGCAGAACGTGAGGATGTCCAGCGTCATCTAGGGGACCAAAAATCTGTTAGTTGCAGGAAGTGCCTCTTGTGGCCGTCTGACAGCCACTAGAGGCAGTCTTAGTCCTGCAAAGTAATTATTGTCGTTTAACAGCCATGGTTTACATTGCAGAACTAAGTAGGACCGGTCGGGCGCCTATCTCCATACAATAAGCGGCGAGTGAGCTGAGTGCTCTCTGCTTCATCTCGCCGCGCGCCGTTTGCTGATGGCGGGAGCCGGAATATGACGTCATATTCCGTCTCCCAGCTACAGCAGACAGCCCGCGCGGCGCAAGGAAGCAGAGAGCACACAGCTCCCTCGCCGCTTGTTGTATGGAGAGAGGCGCCTGACCCACTGGACCCCAGGGACAAGTCCACGCCAGCTCTCCAGGTAGGGAGGCTGGGTGGACAATTTTTAATTAAAAATAAAATAATTTGTGAATGTATAGTGTGTGTGTGTGTGTGTGTGTGTGTGTGTCTGTGAATGTGTGTGTGTGTCTGTGAATGTGTGTGTGTGTCTGTGAATGTGTGTGTGTGTCTGAGTGTGTGTGTGTGTCTGAGTGTATGTCTGTGAGTGTGTGTGTGTGTGTCTGTAAGTTTGTGTCTGTGTATGTATGTGTGTATTAATATATATTTTATTATTTATTTATTTTTTGGGAGGGGGGGGGAAATCTTGGGAGAGTTCCCACACTTTATTCCCCGGATCTCCCCTGTCGGCTCATGCAGAGCTGGCGCTATCTGAGTGCCGGCTCTTCTCTAAGCCTCCATGGGCCGGCGGGGAAATCAAAGATCTACCTCACCAGCCCACAGCAGCATGGAGGGAGGCAGGAGAGGACCCGGGGAGCTCTAGACAGAAGCTCCGCCAGGTTATTTTCGCGAGATCTGAGCGTTGCCGCGGCAATGCTCAGATCTCGCGAGAGTGAACTCTAGCCCCGCAGGCTAGAGTTCCCTCTCCCTTGGACAGCAAGGATCCCCCCTCCCTACATAAGGTAAAAAGGGAGGGGGGTTATTTACTAATCTGCCCCCACCTTCACAATCCCTCCAAACATACAGCACCCTAACACAAAGAGTGTGCACAAACAGCACCCACACACATACAGCACCTACATAGCACCCTCACACACATACACACAGCACACTAACAGCACCCTCACAAACACACAACACACAACACCCTCACACACAGCACACTAACAGCACCCTCACAAACACATATCCCACTAACAGCGCCCTCACTCACACAGCGCACTAACAGCACACACCCACACACACAAACAGCAGTATATGTATGTTTGTATGTATGTGTGTGTGTATGTATGTATGATATATATATGTGTGTGTGTGTGTGTGTGTGTGTGTATATATATGTAAAAAACAGATAAAATTCTTATCTTGTAATACCTTTTTTTATTGGACTAACAGAATTTTTTTTAATGACAAGCTTTCGGGAGAACCTCCCTTTCTCAAGTCTGAGGAAATGCTTCAGATTTGAGAAAGGGAGGTTCTCTCGAAAGCTTGTCATTAAAAAAATTCTGTTAGTCCAATAAAAAAGGTATTACAAGATAAGAATTTTATCTGTTTTTTTTACATCTACATCACTGGACTAATACGGCTACAATCTCTACTTGAACATATATATATATACATACATACATACATACATACATACATACATACATACACATATATATATATATATATTTTACATGCGGCTTGTGTTTGTGCTTTAGGGTGCACACCCTAATGCAATAGTCTGCGCACGTCTATGCCCTGAGGTACCCCACTGGTAACTAGGCCTTGCTTTAACATCATATAGGTAGGAAGGCACTAAGGTGTCAATGACAGAACTCCTGGCAGAATTTCCATTCAAGTTAATAGAAGCACTTGTTGCTGTACTTGCCCATGTGCCAATACTTCACAAATTCACATTTGGAATCCTGGATGGTGATTGGTTCCCCTATTCACCTTCTATTTTGCTGTAGATTGGGTGAAGTGACTTGTTGTTCCAGGTAAAATCTCAAATAAAGACATTTAGGGGACTTTTTTAAAATTTATTTTTAAATCCATCTTGTAAAACGAATTAAATACATTAAAACCTGGTGTTTAGATGTTCAAATCCAGCCGAACACACAATAAAATGGCCTTTTTGCCAAGGTGGTAGTAAGATTTTTATGGGGTTTTTAGGTGCTCACCCCTCTTTTTGTCAAATCATTTTCAAGTGATAAAAATTGGGGCACCTAAAATGTAGCGTGTCTACTGCTGGTATTATTAAAGCTGTACTTCAACATTCTACGTCCAACCTTTATTGGCACTGAGCTAATCTACCCCACCAATCTGGTGTGTGCGTGTGTTGCGTATCCTTTTTTTTTGGGGTGGGGGGGGGTACCTAAAATAAGCAAATTTTTTGGTTCACAAATGGGTGAAATTTCTGAAAGTTGTTGCTACAAATTTCTGTTAGTCCAATAAAAAAGGTATTCTAATAAACTGCAAGAATTTATTTTGCAACTTAATTACTGGACGAATACACCAACTTGAATATGATGACATTGATGAACAAAATGTGTGTATATAATTTACACCATCACAGCTGATGTGAATGCATACCCCCTGTTAGTAATTATACATAGCTTGTTGTTTCTATACTGTTGGCAATAATTGTAAGCTATATAGAGAGATGAACATAACCTGGAAATAAATTGGGATTTGAGCTGTGAAAGTCTACAAGAGTATAAAATCTGGGAGCTTGGTTTTCCCTCCTTCCCCGCAGGAAGTAGAAAAAGTATTCTGTGAGTCTCTCTGCGCTGCCAAAATATGCCAGGAATGTGTGTAAGATTTTAATTTTTTTTTTTTGCCTGTTCCAGAGCTGCCGTTTTGAGTCAATACTTTGTATGAAACAACTGAGCCCTTGTACACCTGGCTCAGGGGGAAATGAAGAGACAGACCTTTGCGTCTCTTGACGTAGGCTTTTTATAAATGAGGGGTTTCATATGGGATTTTTTTTTTTTTTTTTTTTTTTTTTTTCTGTACTGCTTAGTGCCACGTTTCCAAAACTGAAAGGAACTGTACTGCAGATGGGAGGGCGAAAGGGAAACAAAAAAAAAAATCCCTAGTGCAATATCGTTTGGCCTCTTGCTTTCAATGAATGCAGAAGTGAGGTTTCCTTTTAGAAACTTGTTTGTTAAACAGACACAAATTCAGGTTTCAATTAACGTTTGCGTGAACAGCTGTGTCATTCTATATTATATATAGAGGATACAGAATGGCGATCTGTATTTAATGAGAAAATAATGCCATTGAGGGATTCTGGAGACCGAAGGTCTAAATGTCTCTAAATACCCAAGATGGAATTATGATATGATATCCCCTTAATGCGTGTTTGTTTTTTTTAAATTAATTTGTGTGTGTGTGTGTATGTGTGTGTGTGTGTGTGTGTGTGTGTGTGTGTGTGTGTGTATATATATATATATATATATATATGTGTGTGTGTGTGTGTGTATATGTATATATATGTATGTATATATATTATATTGTGTGTGTATGTATATTACATAATATTTTTAGCTTGGAGCTCATGTAAGTGTTCACGTTGTGCAGGGGTTAATGATTACAACATATAGGTGTCTCATGTTTTAATATGTAGTGTAGTGTGTCATGGCACTGAAGGGGTTAGTGAGCGGATTGTATTTATGACAGCAGAGAGATCTACCTTTCCCAGTGCTGCCTGAAATTAGTGGGAGTTACCTTTCTGGCTGTCCGCTATTTCAACAGCTCAACTGCAGGGATATCCTGACCATCCATGTAATATTGGAGTCTAGAATATGATCTGCCATTTGGGACAAATTTCAATTTTGTTATTTTTTAACACGCGCTATTGCATTGTTTTATCCAGTTTAAAGGATGACTTTGAATCATGGTAAATCTAGTTCGCATTTGCATTAAGGCCAAATCTTGGCTATTAAGTTTGTAGCCAAGGATTCCCATGCTTTATTTATTAGGAATCTACCTGTGTATGTAATGATGAATTCTAAAATAAAAAATTCAAAAATCTATGTAAAATACTTATACGCCTGATTTGTGATTCGAGCTAAAAACTTTGCATTTTTAGTTCGAAATGGCAAAGTTAGGGAATTTTTTTTTTTTATTTTTTTTTTTTCCTAAAACTTTTTTCAATTAGATCGGTCTGATTCTACACCAGACTTTAACTGTTTAAAGGGATTCTATAGTGTTGGCAAACCAGATTTCTATTCCTAACACTTTTTTAAATCCCTCTGGTCCCTCCCTCACACTCTTCTCCCTCCATCTGGCAGCTAAAAGGTTAAAAAAACATTTAGTCAATTACCTGCTTCCTGCGTCGATCGATGCCCCTCAGCGCTGAGTGGGCACTCCGCCACCTTTGATGTCATCCAACGAGGATGCATTACGCCCTCCCCGCAGGAAAGCATTGATTCTATGATTTTTCGAACGCTGGATGTCCCCATACAGAGCGTGAGGACGTCCATATTCAGTTAGGTGACCTAAAGTTTGTTAGCAACCAGGAAGTGCCTCTAGTGGCTGTGTTATTTTTATTATTTTTTTTTTTAAAACTGCAATGATTTACATTGCAGGACTAATTCGGACAGGGACACTGCACCCAGACCACTTCAATTATATGAAGTGGTCTAGGTGACGGTAGTGCCCTTTTAATGAGAGAAGGCAGGTAGCATTATCTCCATCTGCTGTGGACTGCAACTCCCATTATGCTTTTGGGTTTATGACTGTCTGAAAATCATTGTTTCAGATTACAGCTTTGCGTTTCCAGGAGATTGTTCTGGGGCTTGATGGTTACATTTGCGGGATCACTGGATCAGCTCAATTTATGCGTGTTCCCACGTATCTCCATCAGCTGCCATTGTTTAAATGTTCGTAAAATTAAACCCCCCCGCCTTCATTCAGCGTCCACTTTGAATATTTTAATTTTAAGAACCGGAAGAGGGGCTCTTTGATATTGGATCTGTTGGTCGGCACCTAGAAGCCACGAGTTTCATAGAGAAAAGATTCTCTACACTCTGGTTTAATGAATCAGATTTGAAATTTTGCATGGTCCCCCATGGATTCTTGTTGCTAAAATAAATTAAAAGCCATGGTCCACCTGCTGTCTTTTACTTCCAGTAAGAAATAGGTCCAAGAGAGGGACATGGTCTCAGCCCCCTGGTCACAAGGACCACTAAAGTCACCCAGACCACTTATTGTCTCCCTGATAGCCCCTTGAGGCGTTTCCTCTACGACTGCGTGAAAACCGTGTCTTGGGACCAAATGCAACTTATAGGATTGAATATTTATTCCTGACATTTACACTAACCAGATGTTTCCTAGGTTAAAGTGTGCAGCCAAGGTACGTAGAAATACTTAGCTACGTGACCCTTCCATTGAGTGATCTTCCCAAAATGTATTGCGGTTGTTATTATATCTTTATCAAAAGCATGAATGGTATAGAACTCTTAACGTGCTATTCACTCCATAGTGATGTGTATTTTCACTCGGCCTCAGTGTCCCCTATTAAGTTCCGCAATAAGGAATGGAGGGGGTGACGGGGGGTTGACGTGCAGTTTCCATATCTTGGGGGAAGTTCTAGAGCTCTATCTGTTTTCAACAGTTCTGTTTTTTTTTTTCAATAACTCGAGTTTCCAATTACGAACAATATACCTAATGTATTTTGTTGTGCTGTGTCACAGGCTGGATTACCTAGCAGAAGAATGATGAGCGCATTTTAGAATTGGAAAAATCTATTTTTTTTTTTTTTTTTTCTCCCCTGTCTTATAGCGGCAGTACATGTGGGTATTCACCTTCTAATGGACAAGGACACATGTGGAGCACTTTCACATGTGCATAAATGCCCTGCAATGGTCTCTCACAGCAGTGCACACACTTACAAGAAATCATCGCAGCCCTCCGTTGCTGTACTAGGATTAAAGGACTTGGGTGAATACTAGGATTGATGGTGAAGAGTGTAGAATTTCAATTTGTGAATTTTGACATTGGAGGCTCCATGGTTGGACTTTGTAGAGTTTGAAACCCAAAGATTCCTTCAACTGTAACCTTGACTGTAAGATGTAGTGGTTATGGTGCTTGGTCTCCCTTTAATTATGTTAATTATGCGCTTGGAGGCATTTGGATGGTGTCACAGATCTGGAACTTCTGAAAGCCAAATGCAATGCTTTACTAAATTCATTAAAGCCTGTTAATCGGACATGCCATATTTGAAGCCACAAGTAAAGTTTTGTGAGAGAACAGGATATCCTGTTCCCAGGTGATTCTATTGTTTTGGATGTCTGTAGTTTGTGGACACCACACATTGCTGTGCATTGTATAACTAAGGCACCGTGCCATGCCATTGTGACACTCACAACCAGCCTATTAAAGGTGTAGCCTTTACACTGCTTGGTAAATTTTATCCCATGATCCATCACATTCAGAAAATGGAATGTGACATTTTACTTATTTTAGAACCATGCTATAATGCTCCAAGCGTTGCCACTAGCCCAGCTTTTTTTGTGTGTGACCTTTCTTGCGTTTCATCATGCAGGTTTATTTTTCCTCCTTTTTAGAGGCCCCTAGTAGATTTTGTTTCGGAGTGAACCTTGCTTTATACACTGGGTAAATCAACCAAGGTTGAACTTGATGAAACTGTAGTCGTATTTTTTTTTTTTTTAAACCTAAACTAGACTATGTAGTCTAAATCTAGAATGTAGTCTCATAACTCCCAGCATTTGTAGGAATTAATTGTAAATGGAAGCAATCGCTGGTGAATAGTGATGTCCCGAACGGTTCGCCGCAGACGGCGAACATATGCGCTGTTCGGTCCGTCATCATTGAGTAAACTTTGACCCTGTACCTCACAGTCAGCAGCAGGGCCGGACTGGGAAAAAAATTAGGCCCGGGCATTTTTCAATCAGAGCGGCCCCCTAAGAAGGGGGCGGGGCCTGAGAGGGTGTGTTTTGTCATCACTAATGACAAGCACGCCTCCTCTCAAAGTGAGCATGTTGGTTCAATGCGCAGAGCTGCGCTGAAGAGCTCTGGCATTAGAAAAAGGCCCTGTATTTGTTCTGCACAGCGCAAGCAAATTTAATAACATGCTTGCGCTGTGTTTGCTTTTAAATTGTCTCTGGTGTCTCAACAAGTGGGATACCAGAGGACAAAAGGGCCAGGAAAGTGTATGGTGCATGTGTTTGGAGCCTGCTTGTGGGATTGCGTGGGTGTAGAGTGTGGTGTGGTATTGTGTAAATAGGTCAATTTAATTTGTGTTTGTGGTGTAATATGTGTGGCTAGGGGCTGTAGAGAGTGTGTGTATAGGGGGCATAGTGTTATAGGGGATGTAGCGAGTGTGTGCATACGGGCTGTAGTGTGTGTGTGTATAGGTGACGTAGAGAGGGTGTGTTTAGAGAATGTTGTATTTGTTTGCTGACAAGGAATGTAGTGTGTGTGTGTGTGTGTAGGTGGTGCAGTGTGTGTGTGTAGGAGATCTAGTGTGTAAAGGACCCAGAGTGTGTATAGGAGAGTGTGTGTGTGTGTGTGTGTGGAGGTGATGTGTGTGTGTGATTTTTTTTTTTTTTAAATTACATTTTTTTTTTTTATTAATAATTTAAAAAAAAGTTATATCCCCCCCCTCCCTTCTTACCTTTAGCCTGGGAGGGGGGGAACCGTTTTGCCTGGGACAGGGGGGAGCCGTTCTGCCATGGGAGAGCCATGCTGCCTGATCCCTGGTGGTCCTAGTGGTGAGCGTGAACTCTAGCCTGTAGGCTAGAGTTCACTCTCGCGAGATCTGAGCGATCCCGCGAGAGGACCCGGCGGAGCTGCTGGATAGAGCTCCGCCGGTCCTCTCCCTCCTCCCTCACACCCCAGCAAGTGGCCGCCTGGAAGTGTCTCTCGGCCGGTAAAGGGAGATCTTTGATCTCCCCACCGGCCCATGGAGACACACAGCAGGGCCGGCGCTCGGGTAGCGCTGGCCCTGCAGGAGCCGGCCGGGGAGATCCTGTGATCTCCCTGCCGGCCTCGGCCCCACGGCCATCGCGGCCCACCGGGCATTTGCCCGGTATGCCCGATGGCCAGTCCGGGCCTGGTCAGCAGACCCTCCCTCCCAGACCCTCCCACCTCCTGGACAGCATCCATTTTACATTCATTGTGAAGCTGCATTTTTAGTGAGCAGTCCGGGTGGGAGGGTCTGGGAGGGAGGGTCTGCTGCTGATTGGCTGGAATGTGTCTGCTGACTGTGAGGTACAGGGTCAAAGTTTACTCAATTATGATGAATAGGGGGCGGACCGAACAGCGCATATGTTCGCCGTCTGTGGCGAACCGTTCGGGACATCATTACTGGTGAATAGAGGATTGTCACCCAGTGAAACCCATGCCCCAAATGCTGCTTTAACTGTTTTGCATGTGCTGATGTACCTTGGTAAAGCCATGTAAAGCTACTAGACACCATACCTCCGAACAATGGTACGTAGGAAAACTAGATGGGTGGACGGGGCACAACTTGTGTCATTGGTGACCCAATAATGGATGTTATCGCATATTGAAGAAGCATTCCAGGATGATAGACCACCTGCCGGCCGCCCCCCAACCTGCAGGACAATGCAGAGAGCAATGCGGAAGGTCTCAATGCACGATCCCATTGCACATCGCGAGTGTGTCTAATGATGTGCTCAGACATTTCTAAATCTGGAGAGTGGGACAGGACCTCAAATTCAGGACTGCCTCACTCTCAGGACAGTTGGGATCCCTGGGACACCAAAGAAATTCAGATCCGAGCCAAGCTGCTATAGACTTCTACCTGCCGTGCCATACATTAACATACAGACGTTTACTGTGAATCTTTAATGCAAACATAAAATGCTGGTCTCCAGTAAGTGTCCAGTGGTGTAAGTAAATCCAGAAAAGGGAGGGTTGTACATCTCATTACTCACAATCTCTCTTCAATGGACGCTTTGTGCTGTGAGATCACTTTATGTGGGAAAGTATCTGTAGCAAGGATGGGAAATTCCTGAGCACAGGAGAAGCCAGACTCCAACATTTTTATACTTTTCTAGAATTTATCCTTCTATTCTGTGTTTTCCTAAATGCTGTGCCGTCACTCAGATTTTCCGTCTTTACTGCTGGATCGCACAATATTGACCTTTCCGCTGGCCGGCCACACTGTCTGGCTTCTTCTCCCAGCTGATTTCACACCTGCCGGAATCCTGAAATGTGCAGATACTTTTGCATTTATATACAGTATCTCACAAAAGTGACAGTGTAAATTTGGTGTCCCCTCAAAATAACTCCACACACAGCCATTAATGTCTAAACAGTTGGCAACAAAAGTGAGTACACCCCTAAGTAGGAAATGTCCAAATTGGGCTCAAAGTGTCAATATTTTGTGTGGCCACCATTATTTTTCAGCACTGCCTTAACCCTCATGGGCATGGAGTTCACCAGAACTTCACAGGTTGCCACTGGAGTCCTCTTCCATGACAACATCACGGAGCTGGTGGATGTTAGAGACCTTGCGCTCCCCCACCTTCCTTTTAAGAATGCCCCACAGATGCTCAATAGAGTTTAGGTCTGAAGACATGCTTGGCAAGTCCATCACCTTTAACTTCAGCTTCTTCACTTCTTTGGTCGACCATAACGATGCCTCTTGTGAATGGAACCTGCCCTGTGAAACCGCTGTATGGTTTTGTCCACCATGCTGCAGCTCAGTTTCAGGGTCTTGGCAATCTTCCTATAGCCTAGTCCATCTTTATGTAGAGCAACAATTCTTTTTTTCAGATCCTCAGAGAGTTCTTTGCCATGAGGTGCCATGTTGAACTTCCAGTGACCAGTATGAGAGAGTGTGAGAGCGATAACACCAAATTTAACACACCTGCTCCCCATTCACAACTGAGACCTTGCAACACTAACAAGTCACATGACACTGGGGAGGAAAAATGGCTAATTGGGCCCAATTTGGACATTTCCCACTTAGGGGTGTACTCACTTTTGTTGCCAAAGATTTAGACATTAATGGCTGTGTGTGGAGTTATTTTGAGGGGACAGCAAACTTACACTGTTATACAGGCTGTACACTTACTACTTTACATTGTAGCAGAGTGTCATTTATTCAGTGTTGTCACATGAAAAGATATAATAAAATATTTATAAAAATGTGAGGGGTGTACTCACTTATGTAAGATACTGTATGAGAGATTATATAAAGTTTTCTCCTTCTGATATAATGTTCTGAAATCAATGGAACTTTCTTAGTAAATCCCAATGTCTGTGGGATATTCAGAGCAGCGGAAAGCAAAGGCTGATTTCTGCTGCAGACTGTGCGATAGCGGCCTCGGAGTCTTTTGTCTTTTTGGAATATTGAGGTTCATTCAGGAGACTCGATATCGACTCAATCAATCTAATAGAGTAACAGTAACTCAACACCAGCCCCGACTATTCCTTTGCATATTCTGTTACCAGCATGTTTAGTGTGTTTATTGTCTTCCCTATTTGTAGCCATAATGAAGAAGTGAAATGCGTACCTCCCAACATGTCAATTGGACAAAAAGGGACGCGGTAATTCTAGGGGTACGAGTGGGAGTGTGGCCAGGGCTGTTGTGAAATATTTGTGATATACTAACAAATTATACGACTACAATTATTTAGTACAAGAACAATGTATCTTATTTACACAGACTGATTTCCAAAAACATTTATTGCACTTTAAAGACACATTACTGGGAGTATTATTGCTGTGGAGCTCTGTTATGCACTCAGACATCAACAATATGGATCTCCTAGAAAAGAGGGACATTAGTCTTTTGGCTAAAAATAGGGACTGTCCCTCCTAAATAAGGACACTTGGCAGTTATGCAAATGTCTTGGCAGCAGCAAAGTTTGGGTTTCAGAGGGAGCCCTGTTTTTTTGGCTATCCAATCTAATGGTATACCAAAGAAAATAACAAATGGACTGCATTTGATACTGTGTCCCTTTTTTATATTTATAATTATATATAATATATTTGTTTGATTCTGAATCACTTGCTTATCTAATCTTGTCTGTTTTTCCGCAGGTCACGGCGAAAACTGCCTTTATCTTTATTTTACCTCAGTATAACAGCAGCATACAGTCACTAGGTAAGTGGAGCTCCGATGGGTTTGTGTTCATTATATGAAGTAAAGTGAGCGACAGACAATGCTGGGAGGGAGCACGTAACGCAGTTTGACTCGGGAGCTGAATGAAGGATTTCACTGGCGATTAAAGGGTTTCTTCCATGCATACCTACGGTTAACGGAACAATTAGGGCACTGGTTTAGGTTCTTTCAGTTTTGTCTCTATTTAAATAATCTTATCTCTGTGAAATATGGTGGTTACTCTGTATCTAGCCGGTTTCAGTCTCAGTTTAGCAATCCTGACATAGCCGCTATTATGGTTACTGCATACAGGATATATTTATCATTTATTTCACACGAACAGATTTACTTGTATCTTGTCAGCTTTCATTAGAGTAGAGGCAGGTGCTCTACTTATACTGTGTGTGTGTGTGTGTGTGTATATAGGTGTGGTGTGTGTGTGTGTGTGTGTGTGTGTGTGTGTGTATATATATATATATATATATATAATGTGTGTGTATATTTATATCATTTTGTGTTTAATTTACTAGTTACATTCGGGTAGCGGGAAGTACACTGGTGTTTTTTATAAAACTCTGCATTGCAGCAGTTACCTTGTTAGTAATTTATCATTTTCTCGTACTCCCCAACATTAGCATCACATTGTACGGGACAGAGAAAGGAGTTGCGTCATTGATTCCTCCCAAAGCTGATTTCCACTCACACAGGATGGCCCATTGAGGACTGACCATGAAGGAAGCAGTATTTTAATGCTCTCTGTATGGTCCTGGAGCCCTAAACATAGTTTGAGCACCTAATGATGTGCTTGATCTATACTTTGTGGAGACAGGTCCCTGGGGTCCTGATTATAGGGGACGGCGGGACACGACCATAAAATCGTGACTGTCCTTGATAAATCAGGTTGGTTGGGAGGGCTGTCTCAGTATCTCCCAACCACACCCCTACCTTGGGGTTAAAATGTGGTCGCTAGTTTCTACTTCTGTTTTTCTGGTGACTCTCTCACCTATATACCGCTTTATAAGTTACTCTTCCCATTTTCGGCCTGCTTTATATAGCATTCTGCATCATCTGCAGTTTTGGGATATGACTGATGCCTTTCCAAAAAAAGAACGGCTCTGTCTGGGAATGAATCTTCTAAAATATTGATGAGTAATAATCAGCTTGGACTAGAAATGTATACAAAAGAATTTACAGAGGAGGACAAAAGATAAATATACACTAAAACTACATACAGCCTTTAACCCAGACGGCTTCCATTGCAAGCTTGTCTGTTGCTAAATATTGCAGTTTTAGCACTAGTGGGACCTAAAGTGACAGCTTTATTCACTTCCTGATATCAGAACCATGTGAATGGATGTTGTAACCTTTCTGATTGTGCATCTGTTGAAAGGACACATTATTCAGACTCCCTGAGCACCTCTTCCCGGGGCTCCTGAATGGCTGCACCTCTTCCACCCCGGGCTCCTGAATGGCAGCACCTCTCCACCCCTCCCCCCCTCCCAGGGCTCCTGAATGGCAGCACCTCTCCTCCAGGGCTCCTGAATGGCAGCACCTCTCCTCCCGGGCTCCTGAATGGCAGCACCTCTTCCAGCCCAGCCCCCCAGGCTCCAGTCTGACTCTGCCCAGTTACTAAACACTGCGGTAGATTGATTGCATTGTGATGGATTTTATAGTTTAACTAAAAGAGGCACAGACTGTTTCCTGTTCCCTTACATGTATTTCTTTCTTTTTTTTTCAGACGGTGAGATTGTTTACTATCATTATGGGGTGAAAGACTTGGTCACCATTTTGTTTTATATCTGCATTACCCTCATTATACATGCAGTGGTGCAAGAATACTTTCTTGATGTAAGTTACACAACTGAGGAGCCCAACCTGTCCATTTTCTCGGCCTGTGTTAGTACGTAACTATATAAAAGATTTAGTTAATTTAAGCCTTTCACACATTTCTGTTCTTTCTGTTAATCTAGGCTCACTTTTACTGCACACTTTTGGTGAAATTCATAAATAAGAGGTGGCTATTGAGTTCTTGACTTCCTAATTTAAATTCTGTGCGTATATTATATGCATGGGCTCCTTCATTGGCTGAGAGTGCTCAATTGATGAACTGTTGTATTGCCATCCAGCTCTTGTAGCTGTATAAAAACCAGATGCTGCTCAGCCATAAAAAAAAAAATTATACCTTTTATTAAATATATATATTTTATTTTCATTTATGTATTATTGGTTTTTAACCATTTTTCCTCTATTGCTCACATTTCACTTGATCTGTGAATAAATAATATCAACATGTAGTGATTTCCCCCACCCCACAAACCATCTCACATTACATGGTTCAGTCTGTCTTTGATTCGGGTACATTTTGGCTTGGACTTCAGAAATTCAGGCAATTAATTCAAATTTGGCCAAATTGCAGTTCGGCCTGGAATAAAATCTAGTATTTAATTTTATTTTAAAGCTGTGCATGTTTTTATTTATTTTATAGTGTGGGAATATTTATTCAAAAAGTAATTACTTGTGTATCCATTTCTGTAGAAAATAAACAGACGTCTTCACCTGTCCAAAGTGAAGCAAAGTAGGTTCAATGAATCTGGCCAGCTGGCGGTATTTCACCTTGTATCCACGGTTTGGTGTCTGTATGTAGCAGGAACAGTAAGTATTAAAATTTGCTTATTGTTAACATAAATATTCAATAGTAAAATGAATGATTTCTGTCTGGAGTTTTTGTGGGGGTGGGAGAGGTGGACAGAGACACAGTTATTCTCAAGAGTATAAATGAATAAATGCTGTAGCTTTTGGGAATGTCCTGTTATTGATAAGGGGTATCTGGCCAAGGCTTGGTTTTGAGCCTAAAGAGGGACTACCCTCCAATTTCTTACTATAACTATAGATTGTTAGTTTGTTTAAAGAAGTCCATAAAAACAAAACAAAAAAAAAACAACACATTGTTTTGCCTGCTATTGGGGAGCATATATGTGGGGTTCCCTTTTTTCAAATTGGATACATCATAGAACTTCAAAAAGTGGGTGTATAAGGGAAAAACATAAAATACATACTATAGACATAGGATGGTGCAGTAACCACTTTGCAACATTTCTGAGGTAGCCATTTTGTTTTTATAATAAACTACAGATTGGTTTGATTGTATTTTTGTGCTATGCTTTTTTTTTTTTTTATGTATTTATTTAGTTTATTTTATTTTTCAGGAAGGTTATTTATCCAATCCTAAAACACTATGGGAAAGCTATCCTCATGTTTACCTTCCGTAAGTCTTATTTTGGGTCAGTTTATCATTAACACACCTGGTGGGTACAGTTACAAAGCACACTGCTTTACATGCCACCTATACTCGTGAAGATCAAAAATAAAGCTACATGGGTATTTTGGTGATGTGTAGACAAAAAAAGGTGGTATTTTAGAATTGTATGGCATGGCCACTCTAACGTGCACCGATGGTAACCTAGGAACCTTATGGGAAATATCCGAAACAGGAAGTGAGACATACAAAGTGGTTTCTACCTTTTTAGAATTCTAGAATTAAAGGAATCCCATGCATTCACTGATAACGTCATTATTAATACATTGTTACTGTAAATGTTATAGAATGTGCTATAAGAGGATGTTAAAGTAATTTTATATTTTAACTTTATTGTCCCTTAAAGTATTTAAATATAAAGCACCATTTACATTACATTATTATTCTGTTTCTAGATTCCAAGTTAAGTTCTTCTACCTGTGTCAACTTGCATACTGGCTGCATGCGCTGCCCGAATTGTACTTCCAGAAAGTGAAAAAGGTGAGTCTGTTGGGAGGTTTTTAATTGGAGATAAATAATTTAATATGGTTGCAATATATTCCACAGTTCTGTATATTGGGTAAATCAAGTATACAAGTCAAAAGGCTGTCTGAGTGACTGTCACTAGAGGTGTTACTAGGCAGCAATATAAACACTGCATTTTATCTAAAAAGGCAGTGTTTACATTGAAAAGGGTGCAGGGACAGACTATATAGACATTACGCTGTAGTGGTTGTGGTGTTTATAGTGTCCTTTGAATAATTGTATTTGTGACTTTGAAAAACCCCGCTCCTAACTTCTTTTTAGCTAACTCATAGATGTCAACCAAATGTGTTTTTTAAACTGCCCTAGATTTCCACCAAATCACATTGTTTATACAGTCCTAGTCTTACATCCCTGCATGTGACTTGCACAACCTTCCTAAACACAGCTTGTAAAGAGACCTCTAATGTTTAAACTTCCTTTATTGCAAATTGTGTTTAATTTAGAATTTCTTATCGCCTGCACTGTTGCTAGCTTGCTAGACCTTGCACCTTTTATGTGATTAAAGGTAAGCTAACAGAGCAGCAGATAAACTTCTAAAGTAATTTGAGTCACAGCCCGTGAGAGGTGTGGCTATTTATGGCTCCATTAAAAAGAAAAACAAAAGTGATTTGACACCTAAATGGCAGAGACTTGAGCAGTGAGACTTCAGGGTCATGATCTGTACACACGAATGGCTTCATTAAGATAAAGTTGTTTTGATGTCTACAGCGTTCCTTTAAAAAATGCACATTTTTAATATTTTAATTAGATTTCTCAAATATCCTGGAGAAAATCATTTGGGAGGGAAACTCATGAAATTCACAGGGTTATTGACTTAAAGCAAATTTCAGATTTAAGGGCAGAATAGGCAATTTTGACCTTTAACATTTTAATTCACTTTGCATTCTTACTAGAATTTGTGAATTGAAAACCAATTAAATAGTGAGTTGTATTTATAGCAGAGTTGGAAAATACGGTTTCGTAATCAGCTTTTGTGTTGGGCGGTGGGGCCATAAATCCAATGTTAAATGCGAATTGTCAAGGGAGATGGTTGGTACTCGGAACACAGATGCGTTCGGGAAAGAAAGCAAAAACATTTTTATTTTATTTATTTATTTAAAATCCCCGAAGTGTGGGAATGTTATTTTTTTCTGTTTTTTATTTTTTTATAGTTTAAAACCACAAAAGAAAACCTGCTTTCATGACAAAACACAAGCCATGTACATTCTAACAAAGAACAGTGTCACAATATTCCTTTAACCCCTTAAGGACACATGACATGTCATGATTCCCTTTTATTCCAGAAATTTGGTCCTTAAGGGGTTAATATAAAAGTTTTTTTTTGTTTTGTTTTTTAAGATAAATAGCATTCTGTCCAATTTACATATGTGAAACCTATGGGACTTGCCAGGTGATTTTATTTTATTTATTGCTGCACAAAGTCTACCTTGTTAGATAAAGCGAGTACCGGCGGTTGTAGGGAGAGGAGAGACAGAAGGAAAGCCAGTTGGCTCTAAAACCTTAAACATAAAAGAACTACATACTGACTTGTCTGTCAAACTAAAGGAACATTCTAAGCACCATAACTACTACAGCTCATTGCAATTATCAAAACGGCAAGTGAGGTACTTTGTTTTAGATGATGGGAGCGCCATGTTTGTGTGTTTTGTGTTTTTTTGTTTATATTTTTTTTTTTACTTTTTCAGTTGCTTTGGCATTTTGGTGAAACACCAGTACCTTCAGTATGAGTATTTCAGAAAGTGTTTATATTTATGATACACTCAGAAGTGACAGATCTGGTTTAAACGTCCCTTTCCACTCATGGTTTATCTAACCATGTCGAATGATCTGGTAAGACAGAGAAAGTGGTTGGTGTTGATTTTAAATATAACTCGGTCTTCAGCCACCCTTGGGCCCCCAATTGGGTGTATGACCTTCCAGTGAGGACAGTATCTGGGCAGGCCGTCTGTACCATGTTTGGCGAGTGAGACCACATGGTGGTCTGTAATAAGTGGTTTTATTCTTCCTTGGTGCCGCTTGCGGTAGGAAGTGCGTGTATAATTAGAATGTGGTGGCTTCTGGAAAAGCTGTACCGCTTGTCTGGGAATGATATAAACAGTGCATCTCTGAATCAGATTTAACGGACTATGTGAAAGCAAATGGAACATCTAACTTTGTGCGAATGACTAGGGCCTCTCAACCCAAGACACACAAAGTAAGGTGTGGGGGAGCAGATTTACCAACCAAGTGTTGGTTAAAAATAATAACGTCCATTTATTCTTAATTTTCATGATTAAGTATAGTAGTTACCCCTCTATACTCATTATAATTAGTTTAGCATTTTTGTTTTTCAAATTTTATGTTGTATCTATCCTCTGTCCACTAGTCTCACTGGGATTCACTTAATCGCTGATTCCACAGTTAATTGTGCAGTTTGTGTGGAAGCGTGATTAACTCTGTGTTTCTATGTTAAAGGATACCATATGTACCAATAGAACTACAGCTTGTGTAGTGGTTATGGTGTTTAGAGTGTCCCTTAAGATCATTCTTAGTTGATTGACTGTCTTACTGGAAAACGCTGTTGTTTAAATATCCTATTGCATTTGGGGGATTTTTGTATTCATTCCTGTATTTATTAAAAAAAATAAATAAATAAAAAAAAAACCCCCGTCAACTTAAACTAGCTGAATCAAAATGTTTTGATATAAAACAAAAAACATTGTGTGTGTGTGTGTGTGTGTGTGTGTGTGTGTGTGTGTGGTTTAATCTCTTTAAAAACTGAAAAAGATGTGGTGTCATTTGCTGTATAATGTTATGACCAATATTAACGTTTAGGGAAGGGTATTTGTCACATGTTTCAGTTAAATGAAATATATAAACTTTGACCTTGGTTTGCACAGCTATCCACTAAAAGTTGAATCCACAAAATAGCTGCAGTAAATCTGTAATGTCCAGTGGTAGTTATGGTGCATGATCTCTGATATAGCATAGGCATTCGGATTTGAGATTATAATGTGTCCTGGTTTGCATGTCACAGTGCCCATTAATGTGAGGACAGATCCAATGGGGGCGGGGGGGATGACTCCATATAGCCGCATGAACCCTGGATCGAGGAAAATGCCAAATCTTCTCCAAGATGCTCATTTGAACACTAATGCAGAGAGATCTCCCTGGCTTTACCTTCCAAGAGCAGTCTCCATTGAAGTCCATAAAGAACAGCGACTTTGATAACTGCTCTTTATCTCACTGGCCACGATTTGCTTCGAAGGGTGCCAGATTTTAGCAATGGAGCTACTTGGGCATTTTGTCAAGGTTTCACATTCCCTGGGAACTCCGAAATACCCAATGAGTAAGGCGTTACCCCGGTTAGCTTACAATATTGTGTAAATGCCATACTACCCTGTTGTACTGGGTCAAGTGAGACAGTGCCAATATGCAACCCACAACTTGTTTTTTGTTTTTTTTTAAAAGGAATACTCCTAAAAGGCAGCGCAAATGTGTCGTTAAATGTGCCAACCAATGCATGGTACTTCTACCTGCGCCATTGTACTTCACCTGTACTCTTAAGCTGGCAGGGGGCATAGGTTCTACAAACGTGGCGGTTTCTTTGCAAATCGCTCTTTTTTGGGGGGGGGGGATTGGGAGTGCAGTACAGTTAGATCTCTAGAACTTGCTCTGCTCAATATATCCCGGAGGCATTGTGTGACCCCGTGAAGTTAAGAGAGTAAGTCAGATCTCTACAGAATTCAATTTTTTTTTTAAATTTAGTACTAATAATGAATTTGCAGTATCTGTAGACTACACTTGTTCCAGATAATTACACTTTACTTGTACAACCACTAGCAGGGCCATACTGAGAATCTGATGGCATTGAAAGAGAACGTGATGTGCATTTGAGGAAAAACTACAGTTGAACTACTAGTCCCATGATCCTCAACAAAACCCTAGCCCTAGTGTTATTGGAACTGGAATATTTGAGTTTGTTGACAGTATTGTAACTATGGATTCAATTTTTAAAGGACCACTATAGTCACCCAGACCACTTCAGCTCAATGAAGTGGTCTGGGTGCCAGGTCCCTCTAGTTGTAACCCTGCAGCTGAAAACATAGCAGCTTCAGAGAAACTGCTATGTTTACATTGCAGGGTTAATCCAGCCTCTAGTGGCTGTCTCCCTGGCAGCCACTAGAGGTGCTTCCGCGATTTACACAGAGTAAATAGCACTTATTTGACGCTGGACGTCCTCACGGACCTCCAGCACCAAAAAAGATCCCCATAGGAAAGCATTAAGTAATGCTTTCCTATGGGCGGGTTTGAATGCTCATTCGTCAATGGAAAAGGAGAGGTCACCAGTGCCGAGGGAGCCCGGCATGCATTAAGGTAAGCAAATAAATGGTTAATCATTTATTCACCGCGGAATGGGGCGTGACTAGGGCTCTATAGCGTTAGGAATAAATATTTCTATTCCTAATGCTATAGTGTTCCTTTAATATTGTTGGATAAGCTTTTCAAATGATTTAGTATTTTTATGTAAACTATTAATTTTAAATTTTTTATTAAAATGTCAAACAGAATGTCATGTATAAAATATATGTAACCCCCCCCAAAAAAAACTAAATTATTGCCAAATTTTAAATATTTTTCATTATAATAAATAATTTTAAAAGGTTTTATCCAAAAATATTACTTATTTTTAAAAGCTCACCTATAGAAAATACCCTTTTAGTGAATAAACCACTAAAGGGTTGGTCAGTGCAGCTAGTACCAGCCCTACCCTGGGATTTAACCCCATTAATACAAATAAGCAAAGAGGTAATCCCTATGAAGGGAAATTAAATGTGATAATACATATTAATACAAGGTCTAATTAGCGGTGTTAATAAACATACTGGACTCCAAGATGCTGGGGGAAATGGATACAAAGTACCCAGTGGCTCTAAATGCTTTATTGAAACGCGCTAATGAGGCCACTGGTGATAACAATATACAGCTACTGTTAACAGAATTGAAATGTTGCCAAGGATGAATGAGTTAATGTAATAGGTAATTGGTGATATAAGAATAGCCTATATAACACGGATTATAACTGAGAACAATTTATCTACTAATAAGGCAGTACATTGAGGCCTATGTCAGGAGTTTAGTAATGGATGCTAAGTGTAGCTGAGCATCATGGGGACTGGAGCCAATAAACCTCATCGATGTCCAGTTTGTCCATCACTACACTCGGCCTGTTTAAGAAGTTAATGGTTTTGGGTTTTTTTCCAGGAGGAAATTCCACGCCAGTTACAGTATATTGTTCTGTACATCCTTCACATAGCGGGAGCCTACCTACTGAAGTAAGTTACCTCTTTTTAAAATGTCTATGTTAATTAAATGAAGGAAAGCGACCCCTATAAATCTGTACATTGTTATGAGGAATCTATTTAAAAAAAAAAAAAAAAAAAAAAATCCTGCGACCTGGCGCCTGGGATTTATCGAGCCTAGACAAAACCAAATCTACAAAAATAAATACACGCAATGGGATATATGGTGGTATTGTAACCCACACTGGGAGGTGAGATGTTTTGGACTCACAAACATATGTTGGCATATCACATTAAAAGCGGATGTCGGTGGGGGAGGAGCGTGGGCGGAGCCTGACCCATCGCCGAGGGACATCGTGTCTGAAGGGGTTTTAACCACTTCAGCAAGGTGGGGACTCCAGGATTCTGCAGTGCCAGGAAAATGGGTTTGTTTTCCTGGCACTGGAGAATCCCTTTAATATAACATAACCCAGGGCTTGTCAAATTTGCTTTCAATCAAGAAGCCAGCTAAAAAAAATTAGGAGACAGTTTTATTTTTTTCCCACGTCAAAAATAAAATTCTTAAGGGGAACCTATCGTCGCCAGAAAGACTACAGCTTAATTTAGTGACTGGTGTTTATAACCTGTCCCTGTAGCTTTTTCAATGTAAGCTCTGCTTTTTCACAGAAAAGGCAGTGTTTACATTGCTGCCTAGTAACACCTCTAGTGGCAGTCACTCAAACGGCCACTAAAGTGTCTCCTACATTCAGCGGCGGCGCTGAACGTTCCCATAGAGATGCATTGCTTTAATGTTTCACTATGCGGAAATGTTGATTGGCAATTGATAATCTCAGTTATGGAGGCGGGCCAGCTGTGACGAGACTGGCACCGCGTTGGAAAACAGGTGAGTAAAAACACCATTCCCATGCGATCAGAGGGGGGCTGGTGACCTAAACATACACATTCACTGACACACACAGACAGATACACACATCCTCTCACACACTCACAAGATATTATTTGATACACACAAAGAATCATAGATGTGTGTGTGCGCGCACCCTCGCACACACACACACACACACACACACACACACACACGTACATAACAGATGTACACGCAGAAATAAAAGAATACATTTTTTTTAGCAACTCCTGTTTCCTTCATTTTGGGCGCAGGATAGTGGCTTCCCTGGGGTCCAGTGGGACTGGGCACAGCAGAAAACATATATTGTGGTGCTGGCTGCACCTAATGGGAGCAGCCACTATCAAAACTCCTCTCCTCCACCTGTCTCGATATCACGTGCAGCTCACTGTGCACCGGGAGGAAGTGAAGGGATCTGCATTACTTCCTCCCGGCGCTGAAGCCGCGCAGGGGAATGATTGTGTGGGTGGCCGGGTCTAATATGTGGGCAGGTGGCGAACAGACTATTTTGCCAGGTGTTCTGCTGTGCGGCCTTAGCGCCGGGAGAGAATAATTACAGTTCACTTCCTCCTGGTACGCCAGCTCACAGAGCGCTACACAGGGATTGAGATGGGTGGAGGGAACGGGCTGACCAAACCAAGGTGCCAGGGCAAAATTCTTAGTTACCTGGCACCTGAGAGTTGTCGAACCCTGACATAACCAGTCAAAAACAGATCTACAAAAATAAACACACGCAATGGGACATAGAGAGGTATTGTAATACACACTGAGGTGAGATACTTTATTGGGCTCACAAACACATGTTGCTAGAAGGCATATCACACTCAAAGTGTATCTTTAAATCTCTTTACTCTTATTACAATATGGAAATACCAGAATACAAATAAGAGGCAAATACATAGAGTAATATTGCCACATATCAAACCATTTTATTACGATTGCACTTACAGGATTCCAAATGACATGGAGCATGTAGAAAATATCTGCTGACCAGCAAAATCTTCAGGACTTTACTCCAGAGGGGAAGATAAAACTGGGCCTCAAAAAAAACAAACTAGCTCCAACAATACATACAACAAATAAAAAGCTTAAAAACGTAAATAAAAAGTCCACAAGTAAAAGGCAGCCCTACGCGTTTCATCTGATTCCTTCAGACTTTTTCAGGGCAAAAGCTCAGTCTCTCTTCTGAACGCTAAGATTGTTCAGTGAGTTCAGATGCCCCAATAGGGCATATTACACAACCCCCCTCACTCAAAAGGGTTAATTATATGAACTCCATGAGGTCCACAGTATTTTCATTTATAACAGCAGCACTTTCAAACCACTTCTCATGAATCTCGTAAAGGTCCAGGTTTTATCAGTGTGCTCGCTGAGGCAGCATAGGGAACCTTAACAGGTTATTTACTGAAAAGAGAATTCAAAGGGAATTTTAAATTTAAGGCCAAAATAGATGAACTGGACACTTTCACTAGTCAGCTGTGCTTCCAGTTTGACTACTCTGGCCTTAAGTTGGTAATTCTCTCTAGTAAATAGTACTGTACATGCTGAATCACTACGAGTGCATAAAGACTGGTTTATCTTATACACTGATGATTCTGTATCAGAGAGTGGAAATATTGTGAATGCAGGCTCCATTAAATGGCATTTTGCCATTTTTGTTTGACGGTTCCTTTGAGGCAATCTGAATCTTCATTTTTTATTTTTTTTCCCCACAGTTTAACACGACTAGGCCTCATATTGCTTCTCCTGCAGTCCGTGGCAGAGTTTCTATTCCACATTGCTCGCCTGTTTTATTTCACGGATGAAAACAACCAAAAATTGTAAGTATCGTCTGTGTAATGTGATGATTGACCTGTGACTACGCTACTGTGGTGCTAGCATTGAGACCTAAGAATTTTGTAGGCCTCCCAGATATTGTGTGCGCACCCTAATCCCCTCCATATGGCATGTCCAAGCCTTCATTAAGTTAGTAGATTGTTCTTACAAAGAGTATAACCACTGTTGTCAGAAATACACACGTTCAACAAACTTTCTGGCATATAAGCGCTCCCATTTTTAGAATCCTTCAATTATTGACTGCCGTCTTCACTGTCTTCCATTGCACAATGGGGGGAGAGATGAGCCCCAGTCATTATCTGCCCTCACTTTGTATCTTTAACAAAAGCCTGTGTTTGGTGTGCAAGAAGGTGGTGTGACACATCAGGCTAGCAAAGATGTCCATATTTGCAGGGAAAGAATGATAGCTTGTTTAACCCCTTAAGGACCAAACTTCTGGAATAAAAGGGAACCATGACATGTCACACATGTCATGTGTCCTTAAGGGGTTAAACTTTTTATTTTATTTTTTTATCAGGATTAAAGAGTTACTCCATATCATGACCACTTCATTACTTTGATTAATTTTAAACGGTTGTGTCGACAGATAAAGGTTTAGAGAGACCAAGAGAAACCAATGCATAAAATACAAATGCTATTAAATAAGAGCAGTGCATTATTATTATTATTATTATTATTATTATTATTATTATTATTATTATTGCCATTTATATAGCGCCAACAGATTCCGTAGCGCTTTACAATATTTTGAGAGGGGGGATGTAACAATAAATAGGACAATTACAAGAAAACTTACAGGAACAATAGGTTGAAGAGGACCCTGCTCAAACGAGCTTACAGACTATAGGAGGTGGGGTATCAGAAATATTAGGACAAGAAATATCAAGTAGGAGTGAAGCAGAGCTGGAGGAGAGAGCAAAGCACTGTCCCATAGAGTGCAGGAGACAGGTATGTAAGGTAGAGGTTACTCTGGGAGGCCATAAGCTTTCCTGAAGAGATGGGTTTTAAGGCCCTTCTTAAATGATTGAAGACTAGGGGAGTCTGATGGCAGTAGGCAAGCTCTTCCATAGGAGAGGTGCTGCCCGCGAGCGGTCCTGCAAGTGCGAATTGGCCGTACGGGTGCGAGCAGCGGTCAAGAGTGGTCAGGGGCAGAGCGGAGGGTACGAGGAGGGGCATTAGTGAAGAGATATGAGGGGCTAGAATTGTTCAGTGCTTTAAATGTATGGGTTAGCACTTTGAATTGACTCCTATAGCATACAGGGAGCCAATGTAAGGACTGGCCGAGGGGTGAGGTGTGAGAGGACCGACTAGAGAGGAAAATCAGTCTAGCTGCAGCATTCATTACAGACTGTAGCGGGGCAATGCGGCTTTTGGGGAGACCAATCAGGAGAGGGTTACAGTGCATCTTTCGTTCCTGGCAGGACATCGGTTGTCTTCCTTCGCATCCCAACGTTACCTCACTTGTTTAAACCAACCAGTAGGCAGCCAGAAGCCGATGTAGGAAGACTTTAGTCCTTTGAAGAGGATTGGGTTTCCTCAAGTGGTTGTACCACAATCTGTGTTTTTGGTTTGTTTGTTTTTTTGTGAGAAGGGACTGCAGACTACTTGCCATAAACCATAGCTATGCAGTTGTAACTCCTGTGCCATGACGACCTCTTCGGTGCTATCTGTGGGCCTGGAATCATGCCAGGGAAACGTATCTGTGATTTGAGACAATGTTTTGTAACTTAACAAGAAAATCTGCTGTTGGGCCTGTATGTTAATAATACTAAGGACAGCTAACCTTTAAATACCCGAGACACCCGTATTCAGTGTAAGGAGAAAAGTATGTAAATTTAAGCAACATGGTCAGTGTTGCGGACATCTTAATTATGTTGGCTGCCTTGCTCCTTTCAATCATCTTTTCATCTTAATTGAAGCGTTACGATCTCTTTAGGCTGCTCTTGTATCGGTCAGCAGATGTCCTAACATAGTGACTGATCTGATGTACAGATTTGCAGGTAACATCGAGCTTTCTTTACAGATTTAACGCATGGGCTGTTGTCTTTGTGGTCACGCGGCTCTTCACTTTGACCCTGTCAGTTCTGACCATTGGGTTTGGCCTTGCCAGAGCAGAAGTCCACACATTTAATCCAGACAAAGGAAACTTCAACACACTACTTTTTAGGTAAGGCTGCGTTGTAAAAAGGGATACGTTTCGGATTCTACTAACTAATTTACAACTGTCATCTCAGCAATTTTATCCTGGAAAGGAACCTCTGCAACTGGAAGGGATATGGACGTTAACATGTTGATGCATTTGTTTTGCTCATTGATCGCTTTACGATCTTATTGTGTTGGCCATCGGGTTTACCAATCACATCTCATTGTTTTCCAATAATTGTTAGAGGTTTGTCTGCTTGACTCTCCATTTTATCTCTTTTGTTTTTGTCAACCTACATATTCGAGGTTGTGTGATAACTTGAATGGAAAATGAAAAGTCTTTCTGCTCAAACATTGGAGTCTATCTTCCATAGATTCACTAATTTATTGATCGTAACAGTGTCCAGCTCCTTCTAGAACTGATGACCTCAAACCGTGACGGACATAACTCAATGAGTTTTGAGTGCTGCACGGATTATTGGTGCAAACTAGGAGGTTGTCATCCCCTCCCATTGGAATTGAAACAGTACTTCTGACAGAATCCAAAATAATTTGTTTATAAACCTGGTTCATAGCAGTCCCGAAGAAGACTTAAAGGGACATTCTAATCACCAAGCAACTTTAGCTTAATGAAGCAATTTATGTGTATAGTTCATGCCCCTGAAGTTTCCATGCTCCATTTTCTGCCATTTATGAGTTAAATCACTTTTATTTCTGTTGATGAAGCTGTAGGCACACCTCCACTATCTGTGACTCACACAGCCTCCATGAAAAAATGGTGTTGTTTTTAATCAGATCTTACAACACAGTGTGTGATCTGAAGATCATTTCTCCTGCTCTACTAATTGAAATGTAATCACACAAGAGGCTCTAGCAGGAAATCAGGAGAGCAAGACATACAAAATTCTACCGTAAACACAACATACAACCAGCTGAGCTAAAACCTTGAGACAATTTTCCAGGAAGTGTGTAGGGAGACTGTGTGAGTCACAGCCAGATGAGGTGTGACTGGTGCTGCTGCATAAAGGGATTTAACTCCTAAATGTCCTAAAATTGAGTAGAGTAACTCCTGGGGCATTATCTATACACCCAAACAACTTTGTAATGCTGAAGTTGTTTTGGTGCTTAGTGTCCCTTTAATACATACTGGTCACAAGAGAAATTCTATAGAAGTTGCAGCATTAATGGAACTCGTTGAACCATTACTGTGTTCTTATCTCTGTAGGATGTTTGTACTGCTTTTGATGTGTATCTCCCAAACATGGATGATGTGGCGGTTTATCCACTTTCAACTGCGACGCTGGCGAGAAGAACAAGCCACCAAGAAGAGGGCTGCAGTAGCTGTTACCGCAAAACCGCAAACCAAGGTCCTAAAAAGGGAGTCTGGTAAGCCATGTACCTGCGTGCTCTCTTTAAATTTTGTTTTCAGTACAATTCACAAAAAAACATGCCATTAAAAACTCTCTATTTAAGTATGTTATAATTAATATATGTGTCTTCCTTCCAGGCTTTCATGAAAATGGAGTAGTAAAAGCAGAGAACGGATCTACTCCTCGGCCGAAGAAGCTAAAGTCTCCATAAATGGAAAGCCCTGTGTGGCCGAGGGGATCCGAGCCTGGGACTTACTCTGTGCTCCTCATTTTTGCCACCAGCGTGCCTTTATGATCCAGTAAACAAGTGCCTTTCTGAGTCCTCACTAAGAGACTATTAGTATCGTAACAAAAAGAACATACAAATTGACAAACTTGCCTTTTGATCCAGTCCTGGTACATTCAAGCCTCGGAAATGTACATTCCATTTTTTATTTGACTGAATTTTTTTTTTTGTCAGTAACTTTTCCAAAGCCAGCTACACCATCAACTGATAATTCAGGAGCACTACCTCCTCTCTTAACTGTGTAGTTTTTTTTGTTTTTTTTAAAACCTGCATAGCGACATTGTTATGCAATAAGGAGGACAATGCCTATGCAGACAACAGTTTTGGCCTCACTGGAGGGCTCCAGCATGTGAACGTTTGACATAAGCTCTGTCAATGTGGCGCTGTTTGAAAGGGATACATCAATTTTGACTTTGATTGGTTACTGTTCCTTTTATTGGTTGCCAGTTGAGATAAGCATGTCCTATTTTTTATTTTTTTTTTGTTTACAAAGTATATACAATATGTCTAGTTGTTAAGTATTTTATATTCCTCAGTACCCTAGTTTTGAATTTTGCACAGACTAAAACATTTTTTTTTTCTTCTTTATTGTGAAACACACCTCTCCTACCCAATCCCTGTGACCTTTTCTGGGATCATGTTAAATCTTCTTTCATGGGAATTGTTACCTGCAGTAACCCTTTAATCGCTGTGTGTGACCATGCGTCACTCCGTTTAACTGTTCTACTGCTAAGGGGAAAGTTAACAAATGAGCCTTTGTCAAAAGATTAGTCAAGATTTTGTGCGATTTTGTAAATGTCAGATTTATAAAAGGTTATTATACAATTTTATTTTTTATTTTTTAGGTCCTCATCGTTTTTGGATTTTTTTTTACAAATTTTTGACAAACCTAGGACTTAATGGAAATAAAGCCCAACCTTGACTAAATATATAAATCTATATATTTAAATTTTATTTTTTTCTTCTGAAAATGAATGTGAATTCTGCCAAATGTTAACTGCCGTTGCTGTGCCTGATCTGAAGCGGCCAGGGATCCAAAGTTCACGAGGTGTTGCCGTGATTCGATACATTTCTGCCATCTCCGGCGTGTTTCTATTCAAGGTCAATGACATCAGAGTTACGCCTGCAATTATTTCTGTAGTCACATTTTTTATACTGTTGTCTATGAATTTGGATAAAGATGGTTTGATTTTGAAATTCCGTTTTAATTGATGCCATTAAAAGGAACAATTTTTTTCAGTAAAAAAACAAAACAAAATAGCAAAGCAGCCTTTATTGTTGAAGATTGAAGGTGGGACACAGTTTTGGTATCAAATGTTTACCTTTTCTTTCTATGATGAAGTTCCGTCTCATTCAAAATGGCTTTTTGCGTCTCCAAATACAATAGTTTTTAGAATTTAAACATTTTATTGATATTTTGAGTGAAAATTACACGATTGATTGAAATACTATATGGTCTGTTTTTCAAATCTAAAAAGCCAAGATATCATCCCAGGCTTTGTGTGTTTTTATTTTTGTGATCATTTGAGAAGGTTTGTGCATAAAGTCTGATTTAAAAAAAAAAATGCATTCTACATTTACAACCTTACATTGCAGCAAAGACCGACATGATGCATAAAACGACAGCTTAATTGTATTACTCTGCAATCAAAATCTGAAACAGATGATCACTGGGTTTAAAGATGTCATAGTGGAGATTATAGAGACACATTCAAATTAGCTGCCTCTTGTGTTTAGCTACGCTTAGGTAACCAAACCAGGAAGTAACAGGACTGGTTGTTTGATTCACAGTCAGGGGGGTGTAACAATATTAACTTATAAAAATGATAATTTCTATTGAAAAATACAAGTCACACTCTTCACACATACGGTACTTTAACAAGCTAAACTGTTCTTGGAGTCTGGAGTCCCTTTATAGGGACACTGTAGGCATTGAGACCAGTACAGCTCATTGAGGTGGTCTGGGTGCTGTTCCTTTTGCACCTAGTGCTGCAATTATCGGACGCTGGACATCCTCGCGCTCTGCATGAGGACCTCCAGCGTTAGATTTTTTTCCCCATAGGAAAGCATTGACTCAATGTTTTTCTGTGGGGAGGTGTAATGCACGATCGGCATTTGCCGCGCATGCGCATTAGACCCCGCGGAGCTTTGACCCAGCGCTGAGGAATATCTGCGCTGGGTTACGATAAGTAAATAAAGGGTTTTTAACCCTTTATTTACCGGGTAGGAGGGAAAAGAACAAATAAGGGTGTGCCTAAGACAAGTAGAATGAATGTATAAAAATATATATCAGAGAGTCTGAGCAGCGATACCTAGAAAGTCCGAATATAAATAATCCACATATGCAGGAGGTAGTCCTAGTGCTACATAAAATGGAGGGAGGCAGAGGAATTGGTAGTGCCAGGAATGTACTTGGCATGGAACATTTTACAGCAATTCTGTCTTGATGCACTCCTACCAGTTGTACCCATTTTTAACAGAAAACTGAATATCATGACATTTTTGTATATTATTGGGGACAAGCTATGGTGTAAGAATATTAGTGAATTGCCTTTAGCAATGCATACTACTTAGTGACATTTACTTACCAGCAATGTGTGAATAATGTTACACTTCTTTTCTTGAACAATTTCAGGGTGCATTTGCACCAATGTGTAACTTTATTGCGAAATAGATATTTATAGATCTTTACATTTTTCCACATAGCATGTTAAAGGACCACTCTAGGCACCCAGACCACTTCAGCTTAATGAAGTGGTCTGGGTGCCAGGTCCCTCTAGGATTAACACTTTTTTTTATAAACATAGTTTCAGAGAAACTGCTATGTTTTTAATAGGGTTAATCCAGCCTCCAAATCCTCTAGTGGCTGTCTCATTGACAGCCGCTAGAGGCGCTTGCGTGATTCTCACTGCATTGCATGCGCATTCAGGAGGAGAGGAGGAGGACCGGAGGCGGACAGCTCCCTCCCCGGTGCCAAAATAAAGGTAAGTTTTAACCCTTTCCTCTCCCCAGAGCCGGGCGGGAGGGGGACCCTGAGGGTGGGGGCACCCTCAGGGCACTATAGTGCCAGGAGAACGAGTATGTTTTCCTGGCACTATAGTGGTCCTTTAATGTATTATCAGGACATAAGGTCCCTTTAACAAGGAGATGAGTTACAAAGTTTAGGGACAAGTTGGGGAGGCGGGAAGCAAAAAAAAAAAAAACTGCTGGGTTGTAAGGGGTACTAAGCAGTAGATATTTGTTCATAGAATAAAGTAATAAAACATCCTTTTTTTTTTTTTTTAAAGGGAAAATACCCCTGGTCCAATATCCTACCTTACAATCTGTGCATCACAGAGTTCCCCAGCAATAAACCTGAGTAAAACAGAAATGAAAGTGTTTATTTTTTTATTTTTTGCTTTGTTTCTGTTTGTAAACTATATTATTCTATTTTGAAGTCCCTTTTTAAAAAAAAATGTCCCTATGTCCTGGCCCCTAGCTATTCTTCCATAAACAAGTAGCCATGTATGGCTAATGAAATGCTGGTAGGCATGAACTGTCCCTTTAAATCTATTGAGTGCCATTCAGCTGGACTTTGTTTTGCTTGTTAGTTCTGAGCTATTATTAAGCAAAAACTGCTGATTTGCTTAAGGAGGAAAAGTGAGTCATATTTAACCAGTTTATGTAGTTGTTATGTTCCTGCTTTGCTCAGTTCCCAGTGCATATCCGTTATTTAATGCTTTGTGTGTGAATATTCAATTGTTTGGAATCAGCAGTCTGTAGACACATTATTCAGTGGGGTTTTTTTTGTTTTGTTTTTTTTGTTCAATCTATCATAACCCATGAAAATGTGGTAGATTTAACCATTTTGTGCCCAAGGTACTGTTTAGCACATTTACGGTTACACCTTTTATCGAATTGCTATGCCTTCAGCCTATGACCTGGGTGATTGATTACTTAATTGGACACAGTGGGGGTTTTCTGTTGAAAATCTACTTCTGTTCTAATAAGCCATTTTTGGATGCAAACATGTATTCCTGAAGTGGATGACTCACCTCCGATCTCTGTAAAAAGACGATTTACTCACCTTATGTCCCACGCTGCACCGGTCTTGCCATGGCTGGCTCCGCCTCTGTGGCTGAGATGATCAATCTTGATGATCTCAGCCAATCCAATGCAGATTAATTGAATCAATGCAACTCTATGGGGAACGTTTAGCTCCTCCATGCAGAGCGTGGATACTCTGAACGCCAGTGTTACACATTGTACTATTGGAAGCCCCTCTAGTGGCTGTCTCCATTGCTGCCTAGTGGCAGTCAAACCCTGCAGTTTCTCTGAAAAGGCAGTGTTTACAGTGAACTGCCTTCAAGCATAGGCTATAGACACCAGAACCACTACATTAAGCTGTAGTGGTTCTGGAGACTAGAGTGTCTTTTTAACTTTAAAAAAAGACATAAAAAGTGTTACTGTAATTTACATCAATGCTATAATGTTGTTATGGTGTCATAGCACAGTTTGTAATGACTGCAGTAACTGGTCCCCTGTTCTTAACTTTAATTATCTTAATTTATGGTGCTGGATTATCTCCCTACATGGTGTCCTCTTCAGTAGTCGGCAGTAATGTGTTGTCATTGCCATCTTAACCCCACCCCATGTCTCCCAAGATTGGAGTCGTGTGATGCGATGGCTGGGAAAATTATAGCACTGCTTATTTTAAGTTTTGTCAAGGGTAAGAAAATACATAAGTCAATATAAATAAATTAGGCATTTTAGGAAAAATGAAAGCAAAAAGAAGTTAAAAAAAAAAAGACCTGTATGTATGTTTGATGTGACTGAATGCAGTCCTTTTGCTTAAAATGTAGCTCAACCTAGCACAGCCCCTTTTGAAAACTGCTGCGCTATAGGACATTTCAAATTTTCCATATTTAGCTACAAATATTCAGTTTAATTTTTATTAGGTACAAAACAAACAAACTAAAAATCCTGAACAGAACACATTAAACTGGCCTAACCATAAAATTAAATAATGGTGGACAGAAAGAGTTAATAACTGTTTAAAGAAATCAATACGTAAATAAAAATTTTAAAACCGGTTTTTCACCCATTCCAGACAGACACTTTCACAAGGCTGCTTATGCGGAGAGGTTCAGACTTTTTATTTTAAAACCACACCATGAATAATTGTAGAATCTTCTCAACAGTTGGTCCAAGCGTAAAAGCCTTTCATCATCATGTTGACCTGGTTGGTTTCTTGATGTACTGTGAGGCTGAGTAAAGAAGACAAATATATATTTTTTTAATCAATTATAATGTCATTTTCACCTTTATCATGTGTACATGTAGCCCATTCTTCATGGGGGTGAAGGCAAAGGAGGATGGTGACCAACACCCATTCCTCACCCAACCACATTTTCAGTATCCCGCACATTTTGTCTTAGAACTAAAAACTGAACTCTAGATCTGTTTTGAGTTTTATATACCGAACATAGGGTTTAGTGAACACTATTATTCACTATATCTGTAATTATGGAGAACTGAAAAAAAAAGAGAGCACATATCTTATGCAAATAAAGATAATTTGAAAAAGAGCAAAGTAAAGGAATTTCCCCATTCTCACCCAAAACGTAAGATTTTTTTAATCTTTTTAGTTCTCTGGAATCTGTGTAGTGATGTGAAATTGCTCAGATTAAATATAGTTCTCTGTGAACTTTGCTATTTTTATATTTATTCATTAAAGGTTTCTAAACAGAACCATGTCTCCTCAGCACATCCAAGATTTATCACATCCTCTTTTTGAGTCACGTTGGGTACTTTTGAGAGTTCAAAGGACAATGATAACGGAGTTCTTTCCTGTTGTCCTTTTACAGGTGCCCAATCACAATCTACTCTGGGTTTTAGCTTCTCACCATTGGTTGTAAATGGCTGAGAAGCAGATTCAGATGGGTTCACAGTCCAATTTATGTGAGGTTGTCTCTTCTGATTTTTATCTGAATTAGCACTGAATCAATATTTTCATAAAAATTGTTAAATAAAAGTGCCCTAAATCTGACCCACTTCTCCCTAGCACACTACATATCTGTGTAATTTAAAAAAAACATCCTGGTTTTGCTACATCCTGTTTTCCAGTTCACTCAGCTGCCATACTGCGCGTTTGGATGTGGAAGACCGTGCCAGGTCCATTTAATGTCCATTCTGCTTTCGAACCAGCAATTCCATCTCACTCATTGCATAGTAGTTATAGCAGGGAGTCCTATGAATACTGGTGTTCTAATGGAATCTTTCCGGAGTGCTTAATAAAATCTCCAGACATTAGAATATCCAAAGTCATGTTTCATTTCATCCACTATCACACAAATATCTAGAAGCAATCATTTCGTTCGGCCGTGTTAACATTTTTGAAAAAGATTTGCTATTAATCATTCAATATTTATTTTATTATGAAAGTGGGGGTAGGACATAAATATTCTTTCTTGAATAATGAGATGGGTCATCTGTTAACATGGTATTAATCGGAATGTCTACTGTTCTGGTATTTAATTGAGCTGTTTTTTTTAGTTATACAGTTGGAATGATATGGATTTCTGCACAAATTGGTCATAAAATGTTATCTGATCATCATCTAAGTCACAACAATAGACAATCACAGTCTGCTTAAACTAATAACACACAAACAATGAAATGTTGCCATGTTTTTATTGAACACAACATGTAAACATTCACAGTGCAGGTGGAAGCAGTGCAGTGCTGGCTTTGTAATAATGTGAGTAAAATGTAATCTTGATCAAGAACAATGTATCTTCTTTACACAGACTGACTGATTTCCAAACACATTTATTATACTTTAAAGACACATTGCTGGCAGTATAAGTGGTGTGGAGCTCTGTAATACACTCACACACTAACAATATGAAGCTCCTGGGACAGAGGGATTTAAACCTAAAGACACTTTGGATTTACGCAACTGTACACCTTTAGAACAATCCTCAGAACCCACAAAGAGGCCAAGATTTTAAGGGATTCCATAGTGTAAGGAATACAAAGTTGCATTCCTTACAGTATAGAGCCTTCTGCACCCAAGCATTTAGGCGACCGAGAGTGAGGTAAACTCACGGAAAAGCCATTAGAGCACCAAAGGGTAGATCCCCAGATGTGGAACTGCATGCCTTTAGCAAAGCATCATGGAAGCTGTAATTTTAAATATTCTGGGGATCTACCTTTTGGGCACCCCTGCACTAGAGGCTGTCTTAGAACTGTAACCCAAACATTACAGTTTCTCTAAAACTACAATGTTTTACATTGAAGGACTAAGGGGGACAGGGACCCTGCACCCAGACCACTTCAATTAGATAAATTGTTTTGGGTGCTTATAGAGTCCCTTTAATGCCATCCCTTCTTTAGCAGAGATGTTATCACTAGGTCAGTCATTGTTATGGAGATACCTGTGAGCTAGTCGGAATATTAATAAATCCTGGCTCCTGAGTTATAGATCAGTAGTTTACACCAGGAACATTCTAAAGCAGGAACCAATACGGTTATATAAACCGTAATTTCTAGTTTCTTTAAGAATAATTACTGAGGAGCATGTATTAAAGGACCACTATAGTGCCCCCACCCTCAGGGTCCCCCTCCCGCCGGGCTCTGGGGAGAGGAAGGGGTTAAAATCTTACCTTTCTCCAGTGCCGGGCGGGGAGCTCTCCTCCTCCTCTCCGCCTCTTCGGCTGAATGCGCATGGGCGGCAGGAGCTGCGCGCGCATTCAGCCAGTCTCATAGGAAAGCATTCAAAATGCTTTCCTATGGACGCTGGCGTCTTCTCACTG